AGATTCAAAATATGTTCAGGAAAGGACTAAAGAAGAGAGAAGACTGGGCTAGGAGGCATGCATTTGGAGGTATCCAGGGACACGAGTGGGACCAGTCAGGAGGGACCAGTCAGGAAGGAGTGTCAGGGCACCAGGCTGGCAACTGTGAAGCAGCCTGTGAGAACTGGCCGGCCTCCAGACCCAGAATGAGCTAGGCCCCACAGTCTTGGAGTCACCTACTGCAAGACATCCCTGCACCTTTGCCACCAGTGCTGTACGTGCAGCAGACAGACACAGACCTTCCACGTGATCTAAAAACGAGGACCTACCTTTGCCCCTAAAACCTCTTCATCATTTTGGTGCATCCACAGAGACCCCAGACTACTACCAAGGGGAGCAGGGCCACAGACACAGCCCGCACTCATACTACGGGAGAGTGCTGATTCATTTTTAAAGCCTATCATCAGCAGACACTGGCTTTCTGCTTTCAGCTTCTGTGAAGCAGCTTTGTTAGAGAGCCCTTGCCCACGTCTGCTAGACCTGAAGGTCCGCCAGGTTCAAAGATGGCATCTTAGCCCCTGCCCAAGCCTGCGAGGAGGCACAGGTGGCTGTGCACTTACTGCTAAACCTTAGGGTGCTAGTGCACCTCACTGCAGGCTGAGGGCCAGCCCAAGTAATCCATAACAAAAGCCTACTTTAAATATTGAGCCAAAACAAAGTGTACTGCAAATTTAACACACTCTTCTTGTCTAGCTTCAAATGTAAAGCTTTAGATAGCACTGTGTTCCTAGAAATGATGTTCTATGACCTGTATGACTTCTGTTAACAACAAGGAAGTGTTAAGACAAGACGCCCCATAGATGATGTAATGCATGCTTAGAATAAATGATGCATTTCTATCCTGACCTGGAAAGGCAAGGTTATTCAGTGGTGTTAACAAGATTCTTTAAAGTTAATAGGAATGCTGACATCAACATTAAATGGAGTGCTGGCACCATAAACCCCTGAGTTTTCAAGTCAAAGGTTAAGATACATCTGTTCAGAGCTGCGTGGATGAAACATTTAAGGGCTTTGCCAAGTTCTAGACACTGCCGGAGAAAGGTCTGAGCTTGAAAACTCACCAGCTGGATTCTTACTTGGAAAATTAAATCTACACTATCTCCTATGGGATCCTCATTTTCAGTTTATAGTTTATATTATAGGAAGTTCTAGAAAGGGCTTTAAAAGGTTCTTGATTAAAAATCAGAGCACAAAATAAGTCTGCTTTATCTGGTTTCTCATTTTCTTTCAATTTAAACGTGAACACAACACCCTTCTACAAAATATATCCAACAAAACTCCTGGTAAGGAAGCCCTGTAGTTAAATTTAAGAATGTATCACTTTTCCTTGTTTTTGTACAGTGCTTTACACCTGCTAAGAAAAAAAACTTGTTTAATGCAAAAAACAAGACCTTGAAAGGTCATTTAAAAAAGTCGGTCTGATAATAGTTCTTTTAGGAAGAAGCTTTTTCCCTATGTAAGATGTCATACTGCAGATTTAAAATATAGACTGTCAATAAAACGCAAAAAAAAAAGGTTCTTGATTAAAAGCAGAACTGGCAAAGGCTTAGAAATAACATTGTTCTAAATTTTATTAAATTACTTGTTTGGGCTGCCTATAAAGATCGAATTTATTAATTTATAATTCTACTGGTATGATTTTTTTAAAGGCCAAACTACTCATTTCAAGATCCACATAAAAGAGCAACAAAATGGGATGATGTTGGTCAAAAGCCAAACAACGCTATAGAAAAATTGATGTGTATCCTGGATATGAACCTGACTAATCTTAGACTACCATCTTCCCAAGAAGGCCACAGGACCATGGCACGGACACAACCTCAGCTGCATCAGAGGTGGGACCAGAGGAAAAGCCTGTGCAATCTGATAGTTGAAGCTGCAGACCTCTTTCCTCCATGTGGCATTTGCAGAGATCACTCACTTTATGCTGGTCAATGAGAGTCCGGAGAGCATCTTCATCATCTGGGAGAATGCCGTGGAAGCGCAGGGTCTGCTCGGCCTCGGCCAGCCACTCCAGGAGCGCGTGGACCACAGAGTGGAACTCTTCTGCCTAATGTACGTGCATACACACACACACACACACACACACACAGATTCCCAAATATGCCTGTTAGTAAAAGTCACAGGAACAGATTCTCCCTTCAGTAACTATAAGTCTGAAAGTTTAAATGATGGACGCTACTCCTATTAAGATGACATGATGCTTTGTGTTTCTCATGCACCATTTCCTTAAATAAATTTGTGAGTAGAAGCCAATATAATTCCCACTTTTGGTTGAGATAACCAGGACTTAATGAAGTGAATTAGTCTACAAAACCCCACAGAACCGGTGAGAGGACTTGGCTCACTTGAAGGCTACAGCTTTTAGTCACTATCTTCACTTATGTAGCAAGTAACTGATGAATTAAATACGTATTCTCGGCAAGAAGGCTTCACTTTTACAGGAAGTCACTGAAATAACTCAAAGGCTGGACGCTTACTTCCAACGTCTTCACTCAACACTCCGCCGTTAGGGCGACGGCCATGACCCCAGCTGCTGTGCTGCTCACCGTCAGCCCCAAGTGTTAGGGTGTGTGCCATGTGAGTTTCCGTAAGGCTCAAGTCAACACTGAAGCGATGGGCAGCATTTTACAGGCAGAAGGAAACGTCTCATGTACTCAATAGCCTGGGTCTCAGCACAAACCTCCTTGGGGGCACCTAGCTTCTTGAGGGGTTTGGGGGAGTGGTGGAGACCCAAGGACCCCCACACTTCTGCCAGAGCCTCAGAGCCCCTCTGCGGGGCTGCAGCTCGACTGGCAGGACTCACCTGGCGCAGGGCCGCCTCCAGGCGCGTCTGCTTGGAGACAGACAGTGCACACACCGAGTCCCAGCGCGCGCCCAGCTCCTGCATCTGTGCCTTGACCCACGATGCATCGTCCCGACTGCCTTCCACCAGCTCCCGGGCTGAGCGCTTGAGCGCCTGCACACTGCTGGCTCTCTTCCCCAGCTCTTTCTGGAAGGCCTAACAAGACCAGAGTTTGAAAAATAAACTTGGCATTCTAAAACCAAAACAGCAAAATGTACTGCTCAAAATATAAATTTGTAAAGCATCACACACACACACACACACATCTAAAAATAGTAGTTTAAAGACCCTCCTCTGGGTAGATGCTTTGGAGGGGGCGGGGTGCCTTGGCTCCCACTTGAACATCAGGGGAACAAACAGCCTTGTGCAAATCCGTGCAATTCTGTAACACTCCCAGGAGGAACTGCCTTATTTTTAAATGTCACGCTGGAGTTGAACATGGTGGCAAGCCTTCATTCAACGCCGCGTGGACACACGCCGGGGCGCCTGATGCTTCATTCGATGCTGCGTGGACACACGCCGGGGCACCTGAGGCTTCATTCAACGCCGCGTGGACACACGCCGGGGTGCCTGAGGCTTCATTCAACGCCGCACAGACACACGCCGGGGCGCCTGAGGCTTCATTCAACGCCGCGTGGACACACGCCAGGGCGCCTGAGGCTTCATTCAACGCCGCGTGGACACACGCCGGGGCGCCTGATGCTTCATTCAACGCCGCGTGGACACACGCCGGGGCGCCTGAGGCTTCATTCGATGCCACGTGGACACACGCCGGGGCGCCTGATGCTTCATTCAACGCCGCGTGGACACACGCCGGGGCGCCTGAGGCTTCATTCGATGCCACGTGGACACACGCCGGGGCGCCTGAGGCTTCATTCAACGCCGCGTGGACACACGCCGGGGCGCCTGAGGCTTCATTCAATGCCGCGTGGACACACGCCGGGGCGCCTGAGGCTTCATTTGATGCCGCGTGGACACACGCCGGGGCGCCTGAGGCCTCATTCGATGCCGCGTGGACACACGCCGGGGCGCCTGAGGCTTCAACGCTGCGTGGACACACGCCGGGGCGCCTGAGGCTTCATTCGATGCCGTGTGGACACACGCCGGGGCGCCTGAGGCTTCATTCAACGCCGCACAGACACACGCCGGGGCGCCTGAGGCTTCATTCGACGCCGCGTGGACACACGCCGGGGCGCCTGAGGCTTCATTCGATGCCGCGTGGACACACGCCGGGGCGCCTCATGCCTCTGTGGCCTGCAGTCTCTCAGTCCTCCCAGGTGGCTGCTGTGGCACGCCTGTACTGCAGCCACATGGCTCCAGAGGCCCAGGAAGGTGGCGGGCTAGCCACATGTCCCTGGCACCGACATGGTGTCTGTCTGGAGATGCTGGGCCCCAGAGGAGCAAAGCTGACCTGAAATACTGTTCTTTGGAGGATGTTTTTGTCTCCATAAATTCCTGGGTATTAACTCACTGCAATGGGTGGAGGGGAGAGTATTGGAGCTTGAACTCAGGGCCTAGGCACTGTCCCTTAGCTTTTTCACTCAAGGCCAGTACTATACCACTTGAGGCACAGCTCCAGTTCTGACTTTTTGGTGGTTAATAGGAGATAAGATTTTAATTGACTTTCTTACCCTGGCTGGCTTTGAACTATTATCCTCAGATCTCTACTTCCTGAATAGCTAGGATGACAGATATGAGCCACCAGCGCCCAGCTTCATTTTGAATTTTAACACAGATTTCAAATACCAAATCCCTATATGTTATCTCAGTGTCACAGCTTTGGGGCTCTGTTCTCTCTGCACAAATTTTATGAGCAGTGATGTGCCAAGGGCAAGGGCTAAATTCAGCCCTTTTGGCCACAGATTTCCTGGAAGGGAGCCCAGGGTTCATTTCTGCTCCAAGATGCTACACGTAAAATGAGATGTTCAAACAACCAATTTCTATGTAGAATAAAGTTATTTTGCTTTTTAAGAAAGCATTACAAAAGTAAGCTAGCTCATCTAAACTAACTGAAGGTGTGGTGAATTCTTTCATTTCATTCTAACATTGTTAAGTGAGACGTGACTATAAACACACAGACCCGGACACACACACACGAGGAACAATATCTACAGTCTATTTGCGATTAGACTCATCCAATAGTCTGAATACTTTCCAATGTGGTTTGTATACTTCTTCAGCCTTCCAATCATTACTAATGCTCACGGATTAATTCATTCTTGATGGCTGTAGTATATAAAAAATCTGGCAAATGCCTGGGGCAGTAAATATTTCGACAGTGAGCTTATAAAGATGGTGTCTAAGTAAAGAGTAACATTTCAGTGTTCATTAGTCATTGAAAGCTGGAAATGGGAGAGTTTGAATTCATCATGCACAAAAACATTTGTTTCATTATAAGCAAGGCGAGGTACTTAAAAAAAGTAATTCATATGGGCCTAGTCAATGTTCTTTATTTTACTTTCTGCCAATGTTGAAGAACACTGAACTTTCTTTGTAGTGTAAACACAGCCAAAAAGAGAAAGGAGGAAAGAAATGTACAAAAGTCCAACTATTTAAGAAAGTCTAGAGGTGGGCACTGGTGGCTGTAACCCTTGCTAACTAGTTAGGAAGGTAAGATCTGAGGATCCCAGGGCAAGAAAGTCTGTGAGACTCTCATTTCCACTTAATCACCAGAAACCGGAAGGGGCTCTGTGGTTCAAGTGGTAGAGCGCTCGCCTTGAGCAAAAGAGCTCAGGAACAGCATATAGGCCCAGTCTAAGCCCCATGGTCAACAAAAAATTTAAAAAATATTTTTAAAAAAAGACCAGGTAGGTGAAAAAAAGCAGAACTAGTAAAGTATGAAGAAAATATTGTCAAGTGAAATCAATTGCGGGGGGGTGGGGTGGGTGGGGGGAGGGCTAAAAGTCATAGGAAAGAAGCACATTCAGGTAGAGGATGGAGAGATGGTCAACTCTGATGCGCTGTTAGCAGTGGACATGCTCTGTAAAGCCACGTGGTATTGGCTGGTCCTACCCCAGGGCATCACACTTAGTGCTGGACACCACAGCAAATCTTTGATTTGTATGATGCTTTAATGAGGAAAGCCTTTTTTCTTGCAATAAATGCACAGTAAGTCCCTCATAGCCCAGGCTATTGACTCACAGATTGCTCAAGGGTCAGGGGTCAAGGTTAAAATTGTTTTCAAATACAAGAGCACCTAATAACAAGCTGGGCTCATACCCCTGGATTCATATTCTAACACACAACCTAGTTCTAGGCCACTGCACATTGGTTTTAAGACATATCACGTAATTGTCTAGAAAAATAAAGGCAGTAACACTTTCTTGAAACATGTTTTAAAGCACCAAGGAAAGAAATCTCATTTCAAGATCTCAAAAGGTTCTAGATGTGGCATTTCCCAAGCCAGGAAACTCACTGATACACTGAACAATTTCCCCTCTCCGTTCAGGTTTGGTCTCCTGGCTCTGCTGAAGGCAGACTTAGTCCAGCCCTGAAGATGCTGATGGAGCACGCCATGTCTTGCGCTAGCCTGCAAATCCTTCTGTATTCAGAATAACCCACCAACACCACGAGACAGACGTCCCAGACGATACTACCTTGTGATTATCCATTAGATTCATCACTAAATCCAGGTCTCCATGGACAGGCTGGTCCTCGGCCAGCTGGGGCTCCACTCTGTACAGCCAATCAATGAGGGCCTGCAGTGCGTCTGTGAACTGTCCAGAAAACAGCAGCGCCTCTTCCAGCTTGTTTTGTCTGGAATGAACAAAGTAGAAAAAGGAGTCTTGGTCACAGAAAAGCTTCAACCTCTGCTTACTAAAGTTTGTGTACACTGAGTGGAATAAAAATAATACATTGATATTGGCCATCACCAATTTCTCTGCTCAGTGTCTCAGGCTTTCTGTTTTACTGTAGAATGTACACAATCTATTTACAGGCCAGGTTGGTGTACCAACCTAGGAAATCATAGATTCTTCAAGTTTCTTCATTTTAAAAAATGTTTTTTTTTTTGTTTCTCAAAAGTTCACTTGAAACAGTTTTAAGTGATCAGACTCAAACTTGACTGTAGGCATTGGGGTGTGAACTCAGGGCTTCACACTTGTGGGGTGCTCTGCTGCTGGGCCAGGGCTCCCGCCCCGTCCTGACAGGGTTCAGTGTGCCATTGGTTCTATGAAAGTAAGTGTGTGTGGATTCATGCATGCACCCCCAAAGTCAAGGCTGAGATCAGCACCATCTGCCCGGACATCTCTTCCTGGTCACTCATCCCAATTTCTACAAAATGGGGTCAGACGGGGGGTTGACGTATGCCATCACTAGATTTTTCTGTTTGTTTTGTAAAAATGTCCTAAGTGAAAATAATTTCAGGCATTATAAAGAGGATGCAAGATTTTGACAGTGGAACCATCAGGGGCAGAGAAATGAGAAGATCTACTTGAGAGGCACTGGGGAAAGGGTGGGCCACGCAGGGCGGCCGTCCGACAGAGCTGGGAGAAGGCCGTCATTTTCATTGAGATGCGTGGTTTACAGTATGTAACGGCGCAGGGCAATGCTCCTGGTGCAGGGTGGGAGGTGGTAGGTAGGGCTGGGGCGTCCCAGGCAAAGGCAGTAGTTAAGGTCCCCAGGAGGTTCCTCAGAAGCACTCCCCCCATCTACGGAAGGCCCGGCAGCCACGCACCTCTCCACGGATTTCCCACAGATGGTGTCCCACTTGTCCCGGAGCTCACTGAGCATGTTGTCCAGTTTCAGGGTGTCATCAGCCAGGGAAGTTTTCTCCTTCAGGGAGCGTCCGGTGCGGTTGGTGGTATCATAGACCGAGTGCTTGGCACCAAGGGACTTCTGAAACTCCTGCGGGGGTGAAACCAGAAAGCAACAGAGGTTTCTACTTGGGAAACGGGAATCCCTAACCAAGGGAGCCGTCAGTGAATCATACCAGACAGGACAGCACAGAAGATCTTCACGCTTTCAAGCTGAGGGATTCAATTTTGTTTAGAAGCAAACTGATTCTGAGAGTACCTATTATTGTGGAAAGTAATTACTAAGCAGCACAGTATCTGAATCACTTAATCATGTCCTCTTTCTACCCTAAGGAATCCTGGACCCGCGCTCTACCCCCAGCGACACCCCTTGCCCCCAGACCTCTGCAGACGTAAACCAGGAAAATTACAATAGTTATACCAAAACACTGAAAATGCCAAGGTGTTTTCTGGGGTGGGGAGGACCTGGGGGATGTGTTCAACAGTCTATGAGTAACCATAGGCCCAGACAGAGTTACTAGCTCATCACCAAACGTTCTGAAGACTCACAATAGTGATACATGAAATTCTCTCTCTGCACTTGGATGCAGAGCCCGAGTGCTTACTGCACTCCCAACACATGGAAAGCGGCTGCTTCTTCCCTCCCTGGTGGCAGAGCCCACGGACACCCCAAGTTGCTAGGTCAACTGTCCCAGGATCAGGCAGCAAAGCAGCTGTTATGGTCCCCATGTTTTGCTGCACTGCATCATGAGGACCTGTGCACCTGGGCAGTCTCCCTTTGTATGTGTGGGGAGGAGACCGTCCTTCTAACAATTAGACCTGTATAGGGCAGGGACCTGCTTTTGTAGGTCTCTCGTTAGCATCTGTGGGCACTTACAAGTATTAAACAAGAGCAGAAACAAGAACAGAGGGCTGCTATGGTGCACACTGCCTCAGGATGAGAAAAAGCAAAGGTCACCTTTGCAGGCAGCCACTGTGCAGGAAGAATCGAGGTCACCCAGAGCCACAGCAGAGAGGAAGATGCTATGTCATTTTTCAAAGTAATCTCAAGGGTGCAATTACCTCATCAGTTTAAAATTTAGTTTAAAAGCAATGCCTTAATGTCATAATACGACTAAGTTATTTCTGTTGTTTTTCTACGAGGAGGCAACAACTTGTAGAGATTTTGAAATAGTCTCACAGTTACAGAATCACACTGGCTATCTACCATTTGCGGTCTGTATTATTTCTTCACACTATTCTGAAGAGAATGCTGCATTTAGAATCATAGTATTGACAAAAGTTTTTCATACAACAGATACATAACACATATAATAGCTGAGAACAAAACAGATTAGAGCTTTTTAAAGACCCAAGTCCCCAAATGATTAAAAAAAAAAAAGATTCCTTTTGACACTGGGTTCATGGCAACCAGGATGCATCTGGAACAAGAGGGAGACTCTTCACAGGGCTCGTGGCATATTTTTTTCACAGCACCACATTCAAGTCCAAACAAAGCTTCCTGCTCTAAGACAGGGGCTGTCAATTTCCCGTCCAAGGGGAAGGTGGGTCAGGGCGGCTGTTTTCTGTCTCTGTGTTTCCACAACTGGATGTGACAGCTCATGGGCAGATGCTTTGCTCCAAGAGCCTCAGCATCCGCCCCTCCAGGAGCAGGGCCTTAGCATCTGGCCCCCCCAGGAGCAGGGCCTCAGCATTCCCCCCAGAGCAGGGCCTCAGCATCTGCCCCCCCAGGAACAGGGCCTCAGCATCCCCCCAGGAGCAGGGCCTCAGCATCCCCCCCCCAGGAACAGGGCCTCAGCATCCCCCCAGGAGCAGGGCCTCAGCATCCCCCCCCCAGGAGCAGGGCCTCAGCATTCCCCCCCCCCAGGAGCAGGGCCTCAGCATCCCCCAGGAGCAGGGCCTCAGCATCCCCCCAGGAGCAGGGCCTCAGCATCCCCCAGGAGCAGGACCTCAGCATCCCCCAGGAGCAGGACCTCAGCATCCCCCAGGAGCAGGGCCTCAGCCTCCCCCAGGAGCAGGGCCTCAGCATCCCCCAGGAGCAGGGCCTCAGCATCCCCCCAGGAGCAGGGCCTCAGCATCCCCCAGGAGCAGGGCCTCAGCATCCCCCCCCCCAGGAGCAGGGCCTCAGCATTCCCGCCCCCCCAGGAGCAGGGCCTCAGCATCCCCCAGGAGCAGGGCCTCAGCATCCCCCCAGGAGCAGGGCCTCAGCATCATCCAGGAGCAGGACCTCAGCATCCCCCAGGAGCAGGGCCTCAGCCTCCCCCAGGAGCAGGGCCTCAGCATCCCCCAGGAGCAGGGCCTCAGCATCCCCCCAGGAGCAGGGCCTCAGCATCCCCCAGGAGCAGGACCTCAGCATCCCCCAGGAGCAGGGCCTCAGCCTCCCCCAGGAGCAGGACCTCAACATCCCCCCAGGAGCAGGGCCTCAGCATCCCCCAGGAGCAGGGCCTCAACATCCCCCCAGGAGCAGGGCCTCAGCATCCCCCAGGAGCAGGACCTCAGCATCCCCCAGGAGCAGGGCCTCAGCCTCCCCCAGGAGCAGGGCCTCAGCATCCCCCAGGAGCAGGACCTCAGCATCCCGGCCAGGAGAGGGTCTGGGCAGCCCCTTCCCCTCCACCTCCTCCCTCTCAGCAAGACCTCTAAGGACCCCTACCACGCTCTAAAGGTGAAACACCTTAAATCATTCTGGTTATTCCAGCCTTTAAAAATGATCATGTTTCAAGCACTGATTTACATGCAGAGACCCAAGTCCACCACAGAAACCGCTCTCCCTTTACCTACATCCTCGCCCAAAGGGAGCTGGAGCAGGAGGGGGGAGGGAACGCGCTGTGGAGGGTGAGTGCAGGAAATACAGAAGGGAAAGCGTAACAAGTAACAATGCCCTATATGCGCCTAGTCTCCACAAAGAAGCCACTGTGTCTCTGAGGGTGGGAGTATGTTTTTGCATGTGCGTGTGCGCGTGTACACACACACACACCACTACCAATTCCTAGAAAGCAGCAGTTTTCCCACTCCTCTGTTTAAAAACGCTACGTAATCTAATAATCGAAGCTGTAATTGGACAAGCTCGATGCCAGTTTGTGTTTCAGATGAGGCCTTGCAATGGTGCCAGGCCGGTCCCAAGCTTGAGACCCCGCCTCTGACTGAGGGGCTCGGCAAGCTGTGAAAAATGAGAATGGCAGTGTGCAGAATTACAGCAAAACCTTAATGTTTCACTTTGGTTTTAGACCAGACGAGGGACCCATTTTAACCTATATGATTTCCCCTTTAACAGTGACCCCTGGAATTGTGAATGAAATGGTCACTAGAAATAAGTGTTTTCAACTTAAGACAGGCTCCCACTGAGCAGCTATTGCTAATCTTCTTTGGTGATAAACACACAACCAAGCAAGAATTCAGAGCTGACCCTGAAATACTGGCCGGGGTAACAGGAGACAGATAATGTGCACTTCCAAATGGCAGACCCACCTTGTGATGGGCCAGCTGGCTCTTTATTTTGTCTGGATCATTTGCGATCTCCAGTTCCGAATCCAGAGACTTCTCTGACTCTTCCAGCCACTCCATGAGTTTAGTCCAAGCTTCATGGAACTGTGAAAGAAATGTATATTTCTATCTAGAAAAAAATTCAAACTATGTTTGAAATGCAGCTCATTTTTTTGTTGTTGTTGTTGGTCATGGGGCTTGAACTCTGGGCTTGGTGCTGTCCCTCAGCTCTTCAGCTCAAGGCGAGCACTCTACCGCTTGAGCGGCAGCACAACTTCCGGTTTTCTGAGTGGTTTACTGGAGATAAGAGTCTCACAGACTTTCCTGCCTGGGCTGGCTTTGAACCGCAATCCTCAGATCTCAGCCTCCTAAGTAGCTAGGATGACAGGGGTAAGCCCCCGGCACCCCGGCTCAGCTTATTTTGTAAATACAGTTTTATCATCCTTAAGTAGTTGTCCAAAGGAGCTGCCATCCAACAGTGTGAGAATGCAGTGGGCCTTGACCAGCGTCGCCCTCTACTCATTCCCACTGATCCCTCTCCTACCCACCCCAACATCCCTCACTTCCCTTATTTTCATAGGACATGCATAGCATTCTCCCCAAATAGCATATGTTTAAACAGAAACGGACATGGAGATACCGAAACTTCTTAATTCCAAGTTTTCCTGGCATGAAAAAAATTAATGCTTTTGTGAGCAAGTTACAGGACATCTTGACAGTGCTTGACAGAGGTGTGGTGTCCCGGCACTGTGCTCCCCATTCAATACAGACAGGGGCAAGCTCCAGGGTGTGGTGTCCCTCCCTTCCTTTTCACAGGGAAAATATTTTTGGTTTTAGAAATTTTAACAGCTTTTTGCTTGTTTGTTGTTGTTCTGGTCTACTCTGTCTCATTGGTAAATCTGGGTTTACTTAAGGAGTTTAACTCCTTTGTTTTAAGAAAAAAAGGAATGAAAGGGCTGGGAGAATGAGTTCATAAATTGCTTTTAAGTGCTGTGCTGGTGCTGAGCTTGAACTCAAGGCCTGGGCGCTACCCTCCGCTTCTCACTTAAGACTACAACTCTACCACTGAGTTAAAGCTCCATAGTTTTTTTGGTGGTTAACTGGAGATAACAGTCTAATAAACCTTCCTGTCCAGGCTGGCTTGGAACTGTGATTCTCAGGTCTTAGACTTTGGAGTAGTGAAGACTACAGGCATGAGCCACACCAGTGCCGGGCATAAACTTTGTTTTTATCTTTACAAAGAGCCCAACCTCTTTACTGTTGTTATCCAAACTGTCAAATTAACTACGTCTCACATACTGATTTTATATACACAAGAAAATTGCAATTCTCTTTGCTCCCTTGAACGTGCCAAGTATTTTTGATCAATGTCTGTTTGATTTCAGTCATTGTCTCTCTTCTGCTTACCTTACACAAGAATTTGTGGGCACTATCTGTGGATACCTATCTGTGGTATCCAAATATTGATACCAACAATAAGTTACTTGTTAATTTGCTAGTTAATAATTAACTTAAATGACGTGATATCTAACAAAGGCTGAAACAATCCATGTGAAATTCAAGTCTCATGAACAACACAAGGCCTGGCAGGGCCTGCAGTGGGGTGTGGCTCTGCAGTGGCTTGGCAACCCTGTGGCATCCTGTCCCCAGAGGCTACCTCTTTGTGCACCTGCTCGCTGCCCTCCCGCAGCACATAAAACAATCCGTGAAGCCAGGACAGGCCCAGAAGGTGCCAAAGACCGAGCACTATGACTACTGACATCTGAGCCCAGAACCCAGCAAGAACAAGGAGAGGAGGGAAAGAGACAGCTAACTAAGGCACTAGAAATCCCGACTGCAAGTCATAAGCTCTGGCAGCCAGTAATCAGATGGAAAGCACAGCCATACAGGTCCTAATGCTGCTCCCACGCCCACAGCCACTCTGAATCCACAAAAAGAGACAATCCTATCTAGTTGTGTGAAAACAGTGAGAAACAGTCATAGAGATATTCAAGGAGACAATAAAACTAAGCAGAGAAAGGAGGAAACTGGTGATCAGCTGGCCGCTGCTGTTCAAGAAGCCTCTGCAAATGGGGGATGCTTGAACTATAGACCGCACCACACCACGGTGTGGAGAGGGAGCCGTTAGCTTAGCACTGGTGCTGCCACAGGGTCACCATCAGGCAGTGTGAGCCATGGGGTCACCATGGACCCCACAGGCAGAAGGCAGGCCTCTGGGCCTGTGCTGATAATTCTGTAGAGCTAAGAAACATTATTGTAAATATGCAAAAGGAATACTCCCCACTCCCAAGAAAGCAGCCAGGGATCGAAGCTGTGCCAGAGGCCCCCCGAGACACGGACCCCTGTTCTCCACCCGAGATCTGTGGCGCCAAGCCATGAGGACTCGACTTGGCAGTGCCAAGGTCTCTGCTACCACGCGGTGAGCTGTCGACCCTGGAACACTGCCTCACTCACGTGAGCCTGGAGCCCCACAGTAAAGGCCACAGAACCAGCATCAGAGAGCAGCAGCCCCCGAGTGTGCCACTGGACCCAGCCCACAACCACGTGTCCCGCTGGATCCAGCCTGCACATACTCTGTAGCCAGATGCTGTATAATGCCACGTCAGAGAGCCGTGGGTGGGGTGGATTACCTGCTTGGCCCGCTTCCTCGCCTCGTCCAGGGACCGTCCCCTCTCCACTAACCGCTGGACCACATTCTCCCACCGGCTCTGCACGCTGATCAGAAGGTTCTTGATGAGGACAACATCTTGTTTCTGACTAAAGTATTTCAGGTGCGTTCCAGTTTTGTCCAGTTCTACGATCTGCTCCCGGTGAGAATTTACTTCATTGGCGAAGACCTTTCCCAGGCAAAAGAGGCCATAATTAAAAACAAGGGGAAAACAGTCGGTTCTTAAAAACGTTTCTGGTATAATACAGACCACATGTTGTTTTCAAGGACAAACCACCCAGCTCCTGTGGGGTCCTGTGAACTGCCACACACCTTGTGCTCATCAATCTGAAACAAGACTGTGTCGAGGATAAGGCTTGGCCGAGAAGCCAGGTTTAGAGTCTGCTCGGCCTGGGTGAGCCAGTTGATGAAGTCCTGCAGGGAGGTATGGAACTCCACGGCCACGCTGAGTGCCTCTTCCAGCTTAGTCTGTGAAGACAGGTTGGGCAGCAGTGAGTCAGGGAGCCCATGGGGCTGTTACTGGTTGTCCCTGAGGGACCTCTCTTTCTGGAAGATTCCTAGCCCAACACTGCACACACAGCACTGCCCTAGCCAGTTCATCACTGCAATGCCTGCACAGAAATACATGCTGTACCTACACTGGAAAAATCAAACTCCTCTGAGGAAGCACTTGGCTACTGCTAAAAATACTTACATATGCTAAGCTGTGTTTTTATCCAATTAACAACAGAACCTGAAAAGGGAAATATTGACATTTGTCCATTGATAGCTGGGGGTCGCAATCCCTCTATCAGGGATGGCATTTGATCTTAGTTCTAGCCTGTTGTTCCCTGAGAGCGTGAAACAGAATGAGGTCTGAAGACTGCTGTTGTGGTTTTAAAAGAAGTGATGGAAGTCGTAATAGGTCAGAAATCAAATCTCTTTTCTATTTCTTTGTAAGTGCTTATAAAATAACTAACACAGACACCTCACTCTCAATCTCCTCCTCCTGGACTTACTAAGGGTAGTTAGAAAAGAATTACTTAACAGCATAGGACCTGAGTGGTCCATGACATTTAAAAGGACACCAAGTAACAGCCGATCTGTGGGTCACCTTTATCTATGTTGAGCAGACCGCGGTCGCTCTCTTGTGTCAGAAATTGCCACGAGCAGAGACACAACCCAGGCATTTAGGTGTGAGGCATGCACACTAATACTCCTGGTAGCTCACTGACACAAGGGAGAAAGCAGGAATGGCACAAAAGCAGTACAGGTCCTGCCACACCAGCCGGAGCACACACACGGGTCCTGCCACACCAGCCGGAGCACACACACAGGTCCTGCCACACCAGCCGGAGCACACACAGGTCCTGCCACACCAGCCGGAGCACACACACAGGTCCTGCCACACCAGCCGGAGCACACGCATGGGTCCTGCCACACCAGCCGGAGCACACGCACAGGGGTCCTGCCACACCAGCCGGAGCACACACAGGTCCTGCCACACCAGCCGGAGCACACGCACGGGTCCTGTCACACCAGCCAGAGCACACGCACAGGTCCTGCCACACCAGCCGGAGCACACACACAGGTCCTGCCACACCAGCCGGAGCACACACACAGGTCCTGCCACACCAGCCGGAGCACACGCACAGGTCCTGCCACACCAGCCGGAGCACACGCACAGGTCCTGCCACACCAGCCGGAGCACACGCACAGGTCCTGCCACACCAGCCGGAGCACACGCACAGGTCCTGCCACACCAGCCGGAGCACACGCACAGGTCCTGCCACACCAGCCGGAGCACACGCACGGGTCCTGCCACACCAGCCGGAGCACACGCACGGGTCCTGCCACACCAGCCGGAGCACACGCACGGGTCCTGCCACACCAGCCGGAGCACACGCACGGGTCCTGCCACACCAGCCGGAGCACACGCACGGGTCCTGCCACACCAGCCGGAGCACACGCACAGGGGTCCTGCCACACCAGCCGGAGCACACAAACAGGGGTCCTGCCACACCAGCCGGAGCACACGCACAGGTCCTGCCACACCAGCCGGAGCACACACACAGGTCCTGCCACACCAGCCGGAGCACACGCACAGGTCCTGCCACACCAGCCGGAGCACACACAGGTCCTGCCACACCAGCCAGAGCACACCCAGGTCCTGCCACACCAGCCGGAGCACACGCACAGGTCCTGCCACACCAGCCGGAGCACACACAGGTCCTGCCACACCAGCCGGAGCACACACAGGTCCTGCCACACCAGCCGGAGCACACGCACAGGTCCTGCCACACCAGCCGGAGCACACACAGGTCCTGCCACACCAGCCAGAGCACACACACGGGTCCTGCCACACCAGCCGGAGCACACACACAGGTCCTGCCACACCAGCCGGAGCACACAGGGGTCTTGCCACACCAGCCGGAGCACACGCACGGGTCCTGCCACACCAGCCAGAGCACACACACGGGTCCTGCCACACCAGCCGGAGCACACACACGGGTCCTGCCACACCAGCCGGAGCACACTCAGGGGTCCTGACACACTCGGGGCACACGCACGGGTCCTGACGCACTCTTGGGGCACACTCAGGGGTCCTGACGCACTCTTGGGGCACACGCACGGGTCCTGACGCACTCTTGGGGCACACTCAGGGGTCCTGACGCACTCTTGGGGCACACGCACGGGTCCTGACGCACTCTTGGGGCACACTCAGGGGTCCTGACGCACTCTTGGGGCACACTCAGGGGTCCTGACACACTCTTGGGGCACACTCAGGGGTCCTGACACACTCGGGGCACACTCAGGGGTCCTGACACACTCTTGGGGCACACTCAGGGGTCCTGACACACTCTTGGGGCACACGCACGGGTCCTGACGCACTCTTGGGGCACACTCGGGTCCTGACGCACTCTTGGGGCACACGCACGGGTCCTGACACACTCTTGGGGCACACGCACGGGTCCTGACGCACTCTTGGGGCACACTCAGGGGTCCTGACGCACTCTTGGGGCACACTCAGGGGTCCTGACGCACTCTTGGGGCACACGCACGGGTCCTGACACACTCTTGGGGCACACGCACGGGTCCTGACACACTCTTGGGGCACACGCACGGGTCCTGACGCACTCTTGGGGCACACTCAGGGGTCCTGACGCACTCTTGGGGCACACGCATGGGTCTTGATACACTCTTGGGGCACACGCATGGGTCCTGACACACTCTTGGGGCACACGCACGGGTCCTGACGCACTCTTGGGGCACACTCAGGGGTCCTGACACACTCTTGGGGCACACGCACGGGTCCTGACGCACTGTTGGGGCACACTCAGGGGTCCTGACGCACTGTTGGGGCACACTCAGGGGTCCTGACACACTCTTGGGGCACACGCACGGGTCCTGACACACTCTTGGGGCACACGCACGGGTCCTGACACACTCTTGGGGCACACGCACGGGTCCTGACGCACTCTTGGGGCACACTCAGGGGTCCTGACGCACTCTTGGGGCACACTCAGGGGTCCTGACGCACTCTTGGGGCACACGCATGGGTCTTGATACACTCTTGGGGCACACGCATGGGTCCTGACACACTCTTGGGGCACACGCACGGGTCCTGACGCACTCTTGGGGCACACTCAGGGGTCCTGACACACTCTTGGGGCACACGCACGGGTCCTGACGCACTGTTGGGGCACACTCAGGGGTCCTGACGCACTGTTGGGGCACACTCAGGGGTCCTGACACACTCTTGGGGCACACGCACGGGTCCTGACACACTCTTGGGGCACACGCACGGGTCCTGACACACTCTTGGGGCACACGCACGGGTCCTGACGCACTCTTGGGGCACACTCAGGGGTCCTGACACACTCTTGGGGCACACGCACGGGTCCTGACGCACTCTTGGGGCACACTCAGGGGTCCTGATGCACTGTTGGGGCACACTCAGGGGTCCTGACGCACTCTTGGGGCACACGCACGGGTCCTGACGCACTCTTGGGGCACACTCAGGGGTCCTGACGCACTGTTGGGGCACACTCAGGGGTCCTGACACACTCTTGGGGCACACGCACGGGTCCTGACACACTCTTGGGGCACACGCACGGGTCCTGACGCACTCTTGGGGCACATACTTTCCTCTCCTTGAGCTTGGTCTCCACTGACTCCCACTTCTCTCTCAGGTGAGTTAAGTCTTGGTTGATGTTGGTCTCTGCAGAGTCTGTCAGCATCTGCTGGCCCCTCTGCATCAGACTCCTGTACGTTTCTTCTTTGGCAGCAAAGGCAGTACAGATGTCCTAAGTGGAGACATTGGAAGACTTGAAAGAGTTCCATTTTTCTAGAGAATCTGTCCCAAACCCCATACCACATTTTCATCTTCCGACCTGCAGAGCAGCTCTAGCACACAGATGCAGCACTTTCCATTACAATGAGTTATCTAGTGATAACCCAACCACTGAAAGCCTCAGAAACCGCTATTGCTATCAGTGATTCTGCCTGCTAAGTTCTGAAGCAAGTTTACTTATACACTGTCAAGAAAGATGGCAGGCTGAAGAGTGGCTATGCAGTTCTGTGACCTTGAACAAGGTATTTGACCTTTCTGACCTTCTGTAAACAGAAGGACTCTTACATCCCCCTGTACAACCATGGCCTCTGTGGTCTAATTCCATCCTGTTCTTAGAGCACATGTGATGGACAGAAGGCAGAGGGCCCATCCAGCAAGAGGCTCAGGTTGTCATCCAGCCGCTCAAGGTAGAAGAGCCACAGGGTGGTGCTGCCCACGCCCAGCCAGAACCCTTCTGGAAGGCACGGGTGTGCATCTCCTACAGAACCTGAGAGAAATCTGCTGAAGTCCAGAACTAAGACCAGGGAAACAAGTTCACGGAGACCAGTTTGGTCACTGGTTCAACTATTATGTGGTCAGAGAATCAATGTTCCTATGTCCTCTATGACACTCAAAAATTTTCAGCTTTAAAATGTAAAGAATTGAGTCAAAGCTCATATACCATAAAATTTGCTTTAAGATTTGTAATTTGATGCTTTTAATACCTTCACAAAAGTGTGTGACTATTACCACTAATGCCAGAACCTTTTCGTCATATATTAACATATTAAAATTTCTTCACTCTTAAAAAAATAACCTGTTTCAAACAGAATTCTGTAAGACTGTTTTCTCTCAGAATTTTCAGAGAGGAGTGGATATAGACAGGCAATGTCGATATAATAAACTACAGTCTAAGTTAATGTCAGTCTCTAGTTCTGAGCAAGCAAGCCGGCTGCAAGTTTGTCTTTCCTCCCTCCCTTTGGGTGGCACTGGGTTAGAATTCAGGGCCTCACGCTTGCAAGGCAGGCGTCTGAGCTACACCCTTCGAGCTTCATTTCAACAGCTGACAGCACTATGGTTCTGGGTGGGAGAGAGCCCATGGGCACGGGCTCCACCCTGGACAGTGATACTGAAGCTTCGTCCTTTGTTCACATCTGGTCCAAGTGAGAAGCTCCAGCTCCAGCTCCATCACCGTCAAGACAAACAAGGAAGTTTCTTTTAACAGGATAAAACGTTTCCAGTTTTCTATGAAACCAGGTGACACTACCACAGTTGAACAATATTTTAAATCCAGTATGATTTTTGTTTATTTTGGTTTCACTGTAAGTAGTATAGTCTGGCCTCAAACTCTAAATGCTCTTGCCTCTATAGGCATTCACACCATGCCTGGCCTGATTATTATGGTGATTTTTCTTCATCCTTCAAGGCTCAACAGTTCATAACTTCCACAGTGCTATATTACTACCAGGCAAACTTCATTGCTCTGTATGAGGGAGTTCCCGTCTCACAATGTCGTCTCACAATGTCTAGACTTCTAAAACCCCTTTTTCCATGATCTCACATGTCTTAAAAACTTGAATCATTAAGTGATGTTGTTTACAGCACTTACCCAGTGATCCCTGCTGTCAAACACATCTCTTAGTTGTGTGTTCTCTATCATGAGTTGTGCAGTGCCAGGGCCTCCCTGAGGCCTGTCTGTTAGCTGGTGGCCCGCAGAGCAAGGAAAGGCATACGTACCGTGTGGGCATCCAGCTGTTCCTTGGCGGTTTCTGGTAAACCACCCAGAGGCTTGGATGCCAACAGGTGACGCTCCGTGTCAGCCAGCCACTGCTGCAAATCTTCAATTTCACCATGGAAACCTTTGGCCTGGAGTGATGGGAAATGTTACGTTTGGGCCACAGAACACTGTCACTTTCACACAGAAGACAAGCCTGACATGGGTCCCGCCTGCTCAGCCAGGCTGGTGCGTCTGCCCTGCCTGCCTGCCACCCCCCCACCCCCACCCCGGAGCACTCGGAAATAAGAGCATTACACTAAGCACCAGAGACACTCCCGCCTCTCCTGCTTCATTCTTTATCCCACTTATTTTTATTCCTCCCTCCAGGTATAAAATTAAGTTGCCATCTGTGAACCTATAAATGAATCCCTGCTATTTGGGGTTTTGCACGCTATAGAAGCTTCTAGATTTAGTCAAAATTCACCTGGTGCAATGCACCATCCAACTGCTGTTTTCTTTGTTCTGTTTTTTCCAAAACACTCTGCCAGCGTTGATTTAAACCCTGTAGCTTGTGCTGGAGACTGCTTGCTTCTTCGCCTGCGCTGGATGCGATGAGCTCATTTCCTGCTTTGTTCACAGCCTCCACGGTGGACTGATGAGCGAATACATCATTCCGGAGCACCTGAAAACGTTCAGATAGTGTCTTCACTTTTAGAGGACTATGGGGCTGTGCAACATTCTGACACACACTTCTCATAAGTGCTCATATCGATTCTGAAGGAATGGCTCTAACTTGCAGCTCTGAGTGTGTTGGGAGCTGTGTCTTCCCATGAAGTGGCCGTGAGGAGCCAGCTGGTTGCCACCACCAGGCACTAAGCACCTAGACAAAATTAAGAGTTCTAATATTTTTTTTTAGTTGATTCCAGCTCATTTTCATTGACGTTAATTTTCCTTTCTAAAGTAACTAAGAGATCGTTTCACTCCCATGTATTCATTTTCAAATTAAAATTATCTCAAGTCTAAAGCATACAAATTTTATAATTAGCAGTCTCAAAGGGAAAAAATAAACTTAAATATTTCCTTTTCTCTCAGTGGTGCTATGTCAAAATTAACTGCTATTTTCAAAGAAATCCCTCCCCTAACACTAATAAGAGATCATTATAATCCTGCCTTACCTTCATTGACACAGAGTTGGCAATAGTTAAAAAAAAAAGACCCTTGATTGATCCTCTCACCCCTGGGAGGGCAGTCTGGTCTGCACAGGGAAGACTTCAGAGAATTGGGGCCATCCAGGAGCGCTGCTTCTCTGACAGCGCTGACTCATTTTCCACACCATCTGGTTAAACAAAGCTTTCTAAAGGCTTCATTCCCAGGGTGTAAAGAGATATCTTTATGGAAAACATACACTCCGATATGTCTCTAGTAAAAACTGCTTTCTCAAGATGTAAGAGTTAACTATTCTCCTTATCCAACTTTAAAGGGCAATTCTATGTAATTCCTTCTAAATGGTCTTGAATGCCACTGGAAAGACAGAGCTCTGGAGTAGAAAAAGGACAGAAACGTTCCTTAGTTCCTTGGTTCCTTCCTTCCTTTCTTCCCTTCCTTCCTTCCTCCTTTCCCTTCCCTTCCTTCTTTCTTCCATTCCCTTCCCTTCTTCTTCTCCTCTTCTTCCCTCCCTCCTTTCCACAATTAAGTTGGAGACTCTAAATCCTCTAACTTTTAGCTTTCAAGAAATGGAAGAAAAAAAAAGGAGCTATTCCAAGGACTGAAAGATAAGAGTTAAAAGCTCCCTACAGATCTCCAGGTTCGGGTGTCTCTTTCTGGCCATCTCTGATGGTGAACCACACACATTTCTGATCACTGGCGTAGGCTACTTTTCAGACAATTTCCAGGTTTATGAAAATGAAAGTGCACCTATAAACTCATACTACGAGACTGTGCACACTTGGATTTTATGCAGAGCTAGCCTGGCAAGTCCTTGCTACTCGAAGCAAAGTCATAATGGAGACATTACAATATGAGGAAGGTTTCTATGTCAACATTGTACAAAAGAAATGCAAATTTCTGAATCAGATACAGCCAGACAATGACTATTGATGTAGACTGGCCCAGGAGAAAAGAAAGAAAAATTAACATTAAGGAACATTTACTGTGGAAAAAAAGAAAGAAGTTGAGCAAGAAAAGAGATTGCACATCATAGTCTTAAATGCCCAAAATTTAAATGTCCAATAGTTATCTCCTACCTGATTATCAAGAAAACTGACTTATGGCTAGGATTCAAGACTCTTAATATAAATGTTAAAGTCTATGAAAGATTGTGGGAACATCAGCATAACTACCGTGCAAAAACGTTCATGTGAGTCTGGCGACTTAGGGTTGGGGGTGATTTACTGAGAACATCAACCAAAGGGTCACACAGGTGGCAGCAGGCAGAGGGGTGTGTGCTTCTCAACAAAGACTTCCAAGCTTCGAATTAAAGGTATGACACATTTTAAGAATTTACATGTAATAAACAGTTCAAAACTGATTTAGAAAAGTGTGATATAAGTAGCCAGTCAAAAGTAAAGGCAACATTGAAACAGGAAAAAACACACAAAAAAACCCCACAAAAAACAAAAAAACACCTGTGCTAGGAGAGACAGACACAGAAGGAGCATGCCAAACAGGCTGGATTTGAGATGCATGACCACAGAAAGGCTACGAACCACGGTGAAGCCACACTTTGAGCCCAGGACATTTTAGGCTCTCCCCAACAACTTCAAATGGAATCCAAGGTGACATTAATCCAAGGACAGAGATAACAGGACTTAAATCTTCAGTGTTTGCCTTTCAGCCCTATTAAAAATTTAGTCACTGATTTCCCTTGTGTATTGTGTTTGGTAAGTGCCCTGAACCATGAGAAAAATATTCTGATCATCATCTTGAAGGAAGTGTTTAAGTACTTTAAACTCTGACTATACATGCAGAGTCGAACATCTGTTAAGATCACCCACTTGACAGGAGAAAAATGAAGTAATGAGGTTGACAAGAAATGTACTTATTACCTTACTTATGTAAGTGAAACCCCTCTGTACATCACCTTGACAATAATAAAAAAAAAAAAAGAGATCATCAACTTGAAAACCCAGCTTGCTGGCCCCAGAAAAGCACAGGGAAGAAGCACGAATGTGCCAGTGGCTACGTACGTGGTGCTTGGCGAGCTCGATTTCAATGGCTTTCGGGTCCCCTCCAATGGGCTTCTGTTCGCCGAGCAAGCCCTCGGTGTGTGTCAGCCAGGCCAGCAGCTCGTCCAGGGCATGCTGGAACTGACCCAGCGCGAGGAGGGCGCCCTCCAGCTTGTGCTGGAAGAGAGCAGAGTAGAGGGACCGTCACACATGAGGCACATCAGCAGAACAAGGGCGAAGAGCCATCACTTCCTGCCGCCTAGGTGCCCGAGCCAGGCCCCGGGGCACGTAACCATCTCTCCACACTTTTTGTGTGATGTTCTCTGTGGTCACAACATGGCACAGACAGGGAGAGTTGTCCGGAAAAAAGAGAATCTGGGTGCTTCAGGAGTTTTGCTAACTCCTGACGTGACTTGAACAAGTGTGTGGCATGTCAGAGGTCTCTGCACTCACCTGTCTGCTGACAATCCTCTCATCCAGGCTGTCCCAGATCAGCTTCAGCTCAAGCAAGGGGTCCTGCACCGTGTGCTTGTCGCTCTCTTCCGTCACTTTCTTCAGCAGAAGTTCTGCCTGATGGTTCAGCCTTTCCATTTCTATCTGTTGTTGGTAGGCCTCTGACTTAAACTGCTATTAAAAAATATACATATACAAGGACATTTTTAAAATCAGTAGCGTTAAGACAATAAAGAGCTAGCAAAGACTGAAAAAGGGGGGCGGGTACTTCCACTTTATGTGGTGGAAAGATGTCTATGTAATTTTGGTATTTTGTTTTTGTTCTTTATAGTAAACCAACAAACCTTATAGTTTAACTTATTCAAATGCCTTTATATATTCAATAGTGTGCTTTGAAATTACAGGGAAGAAAACACAAACACCGGTGAAACCCAGGAAACAATGCTTCTACCAAGCTCAGTATTTCCATCACACACACACACACATGCACGCACGCACGCGCGCGCGCACACACTCATTCTGCATTCCTCCCTCCCCCCACAACCACACTGTTTTTCATAGCTGTGTTACATTTTTCAGGACTTAGTTATTTCTATGCCTCACCCATGGCTGCCACTCTCCCTCTCCTGGTGCTTCTACATCATGCCATAGTGTTTCTATCTTTACTTAGCCAACCAACAGGTTAGGAAGTGGCTGACTATAATAGAAAACTGTCCTATCACAAATGATCATCATAAAATATTTATTTGAAGCTGCAATCATAAATAATTAATGGATAAGCAGCCTCTTATTCTCTTTAAACATATGACAGCAATAATTAAAAAGTAATAAAGTATAATGACCATTGGCTAAGTTCAAATTACTCTATCAACTTAAAAGAAGGTTTTCTCCAGTCAAGGACAAAGCACGGGGGGAGGGGGGGGGTGCGGGGGATGACCTTCCTGAGGTGCCTCCTGAGGGAGGGGGGAAGGTCGAGTCAGAGCCAGCCTCCGCGGCTCGGGCAGCGGGAGGCCTGCCCAGCCTGCCCGTGAAGGCTGTGGGTGGGGAGGAGCATGGGCATGGGAAACCCTGATGAGGCTGACGATCCGAAAGGCAAGGTAAAAGCAAGACAAAACAAAAACATCTTCCAGTCTAACCGTGGTAACGGCAAAGTTCTCAAAGAAAAATACATTTCTCAAGGAAACAGTCAAACTTTGAGATGAAAATGCTGTTTTAGTATCCGATAGTGGCTTTATGTAAGAATCTAGGGGCATTCGCTGACAAGAGGCCTCTGGGTGTGAAGCCCGAGGGAGGAGAGAGCTGAAGTCATGGCCCTAGATGGTCATGAGCTGGACACTCAGAGCAGAATGCTAGCCACAGGACGGAAAGGTCAGAGGCAACCACAAATACTCACAACCAGGGAGGTTCTGCTGCTACACGCCAATCATGCAGCACACACACAGAAAATGAAAACGTTACTGAACACTACATAATAAGACCAGTTAAACAGTGCCCATGGAATCATGAAATATGCTTACCCCTGCGTGCGCGCACACACACAGACACACACACACACACACACACACACACACACACACACACACACACACACACGCTGCTCCCAACACCAGGTTATCTGACATCTGAGAGATGCGAAGACAGTCGGGCCTAAGAGGAGCTACATCTGGGTGTGTAATATCTGGATAATGGAAAAGTTGCTTTTCCTCCTTTGTGCTTATTTAGATTTTCTGACTTTCCAATAATAACCAAGTATTAATTAATGCAAAGAAAACATTCAGTGTTTTATTTAAAGAGCACATACTTTTCTATTGTTCATTCTAGGTAGGCAATGTATTAAACACAGTTCAAAATAAAAAATGTGAGATGCTTCAATTATGTAAAATAAATCAATTTATACAAGGAATCCTGTGACTCAACAACTAAAACAATGCAAGGAAGTCTTGGATAAATTACTTAGGCCCCAACATGTACCTTTAACTCTTCAATCTGCTGCTTGACAGTTTCGAGATCTGTTCCGATGGGAGACAGCGAAGCTAACTTCCCACCCGCAATGTCTACCCAGTCAAAGACTGCCTGAAAGAAACATATAAAAGTACCAAAATATGTCACAAGTTATAGAAAAGGGCAATTATAAGGAAGGATGGTTATTTTACAAAAAATTAAGGACTACCTAAACAAAAGCAATATAATGGAAGTTGTCCCAAATATGAAATAGCTAAAATAGCTATTGCTTTAACTCTACATCCATAAATATGCAAGAGGAATTCTTTACTGAATATTATTAGACTATTAACCCCACACATAGAAGCAGTATTGAGATCTCTATTCTACTTTGCAACATAGACTTCACAGTCAGGGAAGAAAATTATCCTACAAAGGCTCAGGTTTTCAAGTTCTAAACATAAAACAGAATTACTCTGTACCTCAAAGCAATGGCCAGAACATTAGGGAGGGGCAGAAAGCATCTGGCGCATTCAGGTTACCTTAAACCTGCCTGGGAGCTGGATGGTAGCCCAGCAAATGATCAGACCAGCTGAGCACCTGGGGCCAGCTCCTGACAGCTGGTGGAACTGTTTCTCAACGGAGCACAGGTGACCAGCCACACTGGAGCAGCACAGCATATGCCAGGCCCTGTGCCGACTCACGGTGGGCCATGGTGTCTGACCTGGGAGCATGTAAGGGCCGCTGTGAGGACCCACCCACAGCCCAGTCTTGCATACACAGGGGACTCTGTTTTGCTTTGAACAGGAAGGAGGCTGTTACAATAAGGAGTTTTTTTCATGTTTCCAAAGTTCAGAACCCCTTTTCAGCTGACATCAAGCCTGGCTGATAGTGTGAATACTGGCACAAATGCAGAAGTGAGGTGGCTGATGGTGTGTACTGGTGTGAATACACAAGTGAAATGGCTGGTACGAATGCAGAGGTCAAGTGGCTCAAAGAGGAGACAGCTATGCTCATCTGAGCTTTGGAAGTATGTGCTTAGGGTTCTGAAGGAGGGTGCTGGCTGGTAGGAAACGGAACAAAGTTAGAGAATGTTGAAAAAGAAATAGCAGCTGTTTGCCTTAGCCAACAGAGGAGCTGTTGATATTAACAGTGCCAACTTCCACAGGGTTAATGAGCCGAGAACCTTCAGGGATGGAGAAACAGCTGTTCAAGTGAATGCCACAGGCGGAGAAGACACTGCACAGCACGCAGTGGCCCGGGGAGCCACGTCTGCTTTGGTGCACAGGGCTCACCGGCGTCAGCCAACTCTCTGGCTTCTGTTGACCGGTTGGTATTTTTAGTGTTTACTCCTCTCATTCCAGAGCACGTCCTCTTGTACCATAATTCAGTCTCTGCTCCATTTCATTACCTGATACTGAACTGTTCACGAAAAACAACTGTGTGGGAACACTTGCTTGCGTTTAAAAAGCATGAAAATATGTCTTTTCAAGCTAAAGTTCACTGGAAGTGTGTACTGAGCCATTTAGACTTGCCTGTAAATCCACATGTCTGAAAGGTGAGAAACTATCTTCTAGAGGTCAGAGCGGCCGCAGGGCCGCAGGAGCGGGTGCACCCCACCCCGCCTCCCCCGCCCTCCGTGGAGGTGGGCACAGGGCGCCTGGCCCTACCTGTAGTCCGTCCTGGTACTGAACTGCAGTCTGCATGGCCTCCTCGAGTTTGTCGATCCGGTCCCTCCAAGCTTTGTTTAGAGAGTCCCATGCTGAATTTAGCTACAATACACATGTTATGTCTGTCTCAATATCAACATTTAAACTCATGACTACTTTTAACAAAGGCATTGAGTTTGGATTTCCAGGGAAACTTTCTGAGGGGTGAAAATGAGGGCCGCACCTCATCTATACTCTTCTTCACGATGGGTTTATCGGGCTCCCCGCACGCGGCAATGAGCTCAGAGCCCAGGCTAATGACCACAGCCAGTTCCTCCTGCAGCCCATCCACTTCCTCTCTGATGGCCTGGAGCAAAGCAAGAAGACAGCCTCAGAAGACGATCAAAGCCACACAGAAACCAAGTCAGCACTAGTTAATGCTAGGAGATTACAGCCATCCTAATCTCCTTGTTTCCTAATTTCCTGCTTTCCTTCATTTTGTAACTTGTGCTTAGAATTCCTTGGTTGAATATATATTCAATCAACAAATATACTTAATAAGTATGAGCAGTGTAGACAGAGAGAAAACAGGCCTGGCTCTCAGGTCAATGAATTCAACCAATGGCAGTCACGAGGAGAGTGTAATGGGATTCAATATCATGAGGAAAGATTTACAGAGGAATCTGGAAGCTGGAGCAGCATCTGTACCTAGAGTGTGTGTGTGAGTAGGAGATATATTGGGCAAAGGCACAGACACAGGAAGGACATTTCAGCTGGGGGTACCATGTTCTAACTCAGGGAAGAGAGGACACTTGGTAAAAGAGCAGCAGGGTAGGCCTGGGCCGGGCTGGGCTGGGCTGGGCTAGGCTGGGCTGGGCTGGGCTGGGCTAGGCTGGGCTGAGCTGGGCTGGGCTGAGCTGGCTGGGCTGAGCTGGGCTGGGCTGAGCTGGGTGGGCTGGGCGGGGCAGTCAGGGCTGGGCTGGGCTAGGCAGGGCTGGGCTGGGCTGGGCTGAGCTGGGCTGGGCTGGGCTGGGCTAGGCTAGGCTAGGCTGGGCTGAGCTGGGCTGGGCTGGGCTGGGCTGGGCGGGGCAGTCAGGGCTGGGCTGGGCTAGGCAGGGCTGGGCTGGGCAGTCAGGACAGGGCTGGGCTGGGCTGAGCAGTCAGGGCTGGACTGGGCTGGGCTGAGTTGGGAAGGGCTAGGCTGGGCTGGGCAGTCAGGGCTGGACTAGGCTGGATTGGACTGGGCTATGCTGGGCTGAGTTGGGCTAGGCCAGGCCAGGCTGGGCAGTCAGGGCTGGGCTGGGTTGGACTGGGCTGGGCTGGGCCAGCTGAGTTGGAAAGGGCTGGGCCAGGCTGGGCAGCCAGGGATGGACTGGGCTAGGCCAGGCCAGGCTGGGTAGTCAGGGCTGAACTGGGCTGGGCTGGGCTGGGCTGGGTCAGGCTGGGCAGTCAAGGCTGGGCTAGGCTGGGCTGGGCTGGACTGGGCTGGACTGGGCTGGGTAGTCAGGGCTGGGCTGGGCTGGGCTGGGCTAGGCCAGGCTGAGTTAGGAAGGGCTGGGCGGGGCTGGGCAGTCAGGGCTGGGCTGGGCTGGGCTGAGTTGGGCTAGGCCAGGCCAGGCTGGGCAGTCAGGGCTGGACTGGGCTGGGCTGTGCCAGGCTGAGTTGAGTTGGGAAGGATGGGCCGGGCTGGGCTGGGCTAAGTTGGGAAGGACTGGACCGGGCTGGGCTGGACTGGACTGGGCTAGGTCAGGCCAGGCTGGACAATCAGGGCTGGGCTGGGTTGGACTGGGTTGGGCTGGGCCAGCTGAGTTGGAAAGGGCTGGGCTGGGCTGGGCAGCCAGGGCTGGACTGGGCTAGGCTGGACTGGGCTGGGCTGGGCTGGGCTGGGCTGGGCTGGGCTGGGCTGTGCCAGGCTGAGTTGAGTTGGGAAGGATGGGCCGGGCTGGGCAGTCAGGGCTGGGCTGGGCTGGGTAGTCAGGGCTGGGCTGGGCTGGCCTGGGCTGGCCTGGGCTAGGCCAGGCTGAGTTAGGAAGGGCTGGGCCGGGCTGATCAGTCAGGGCTGGACTGGGAAGCCCGGGCTCCCTCCAGCAGGCACAGGGCGTCTGAGGGATTGGAAGGAGTGCCATGTAAGAGCAGGTCTAGAAAGACGATGTGCAGCAAGGTTCAAGGCCAAGTAGAGAGACCTCACTTTGGACTAAGTTGGAAGCCAAGAGCAGAGATATGGGGCCCTGAAATAAGGCAGAAACAGGGGGACAGGGTCAAGTTGCTTGACATCTGACTTTGTGGCCTCCAGTGAAGCGTGTGGGCAGCCTCTCCTCCACTAACCACTATTCCCTCCATGGCCCAACCAAGTAGATACATTGTGGTGGTTCTGGGGTTTGAATTCTAGTCCTTGTGCTTGCCAGGCAAGTGTTCTACCACTGAGCCTTACCTCCAGCCCTAAAATACAAACTTTAACAGAGTAAATCCTAATAGTTGCCAAAAGAACTCTTGTTCGTCACGTTCTGCTTACCTCTGCTGCTTCCTGCTGCTGCTTCACAATGGAGGGGTCAATGCCGGGGGTCTCCAGGTCACGGATAAAGTCTTGAGTGTCTTTAGTGGTAACGACCAGAGACAGGTGATCACACCAAAACTTCTCTGCGAGCTCCATCACGTCCAGCAGTCTGGCCTCCCGTTCTTCCACCAGCGCGTGGATGTTCTCCCAGACAGAAACCATGCGGTCAAGTTTAGCCTGCACAGCTATGGCGGCCCAACAAGAGCATCAGTTACCCCCATGAGGCGGTTAAGCAAATCCTTAAGCTCACACAGAGGGCAGTCATTTCCTGCTAACTCTAGAACTAGACCTGGCTGGTGGTGGTTTAGTGAGGACCACAGGCCCAGGGGCCAGCCTTTGACAACACACATCTGTTCTCCCCCGGCTGAGCAAGGCTCCTCTTGACCCTGGTGTGCAGAAAGGTCAGTGAGCTGAGAGTGGACCTGGGTTACCCTATTTTAAGTTCAATAATTCAGGCCTCAATCCCAGCTAGTTAGTGAATTTTCTTATGCATTCAGCTCAGGAGTGCTACTGTCAGTTCAGCCGCAGGAATGTGGCAATGATATGTGTTTGTTGGCTTCCTTCTGAAGTCCTCAAGGATTTCTACTGTGTCTCTGCTCTTCCTTAGCACTCATGGTGCTGTCTGGACTGGCTATGGTTGGCTAAGTCACAGCTTGTGGTAAGAATCAGCAATGAAAAAGAATGCAAATCCAGGAGCTTTGACCTTACCCCCGTCATGCTTTAACCTATTGGTTTAAAGGCCCAGAGAACATTCAACCAACCTGTACTCAACTAGATAATTCCATGGATTACTTTCACAAACACAGGAATGATGTTCACCAGGGTTGTACCCTAAGCACACCCATGAGTGACACAGTCTCAGAGGTTTGGCTTTTTGCATGCACCTGGCCTGTCCACGTCTGTCTCCCTGCTCCCGATGATTACCTTTGGCAGAGACATCCTTGTCGGGGCCTCCAGACCTGGCAATCATGTCCTCACCCCTCTGCCTGAGTGTCTCATACAAGGGCTGCAGCTTTTCCATGTCCATGGACACATTCTTGTTGTCACTGATCTGCTCCTTGACCTTCTCAACCTCCGCAGAGATGGACGGTGGCTGCTGGAGTCGCTCTGCTGTGCGCGTCAGGCTCTCCAGGATTTGGTCGATCTTGTCATGGAACTGGAGGGAAACAATGGGATCCTTTATGGGCAAGGTTTGTGATGTCCATGTGAGTTTCCTGTGAGAGACCCTGTTCTGACTGACACAAAGAGAGCTGAAGCTTAGACCCTTTCTTTCCGAACAGAGGCGTCCAAAGAGCTGGATCCAGCTGCTCACCAAGACAGGCATGATGTGTGCGTAGGCCCTCTGCAGCACACTCATGAGTTGTGTGTAGGCCCTCTGCCGCACACTCATGGGGAACACACTGGGCTCCTGGTGAGTACCTGACAGGTGAAAACCTGGGTGCCCATGGCTCACACCTGTAATCCTAGCTAGTCAGGAGGCCAAGATTCGAGGATTTAGCAAAAGCCCTCAGAGACAGCACCCAGGCCCTGAGTTCAAGCCCAAGAAAGAAAGAGAGGAAGGAAGAAAGGAGAGAAACACAGAAAGAGACCAAAAGAAAAAGAGAGAGAGAGGAAGGAAGGAGAAATAACTACAGATCAGCATCTGCCTTAAGATGCTGCTATATTTTATCTTAATTTTAAAATTTGTTTAATAACCTGAGTATTTTATCTATAAAAACTGTTTTCTTCATCTTCAGTCACAATTTTGATGCTCTCGAGGTTACATTATAACCTCAGTTCTGATCACATCTAAGGGATGCCTTAGGTTTTGTTTTCCTGAATTAAAATGTATAAAAAAGTATCTTAAAAAGACCCACAAAATGAAATCAAACAAAAACTTCCCTGATGCTGAATTAGAAGTCTGTATTTAATTCACTCCCAACACACTATATGCAGATACAAATTAGGCAGTTATAAAAATCTGCTCACTCAAAAGTTCTATGCTACCGTCATAGTTAAGGAAATCACAGCTCAGGATTACAGATTCACAGCAATGTTTTGCTGGTGTTTGTTCTTGGATTTTTGGTGGTACTGGGATTTAAACTTCAGAGCCTCACGCTTATTAGGAAGGCACTCTACCACTTGAGCCATGCCTTTAGCCCTGTTTTTTGCTGTTTATCTTGCAAATCGAGTATAGTAAGCTTTTCTGGCTGTGTTGAAACATGATCCTCCAGATCTCAGCCTCCTGTGTAGCTAGGTTTACTGGTGGGGCCACTAGTGCCCAGCTTATTAACACTTTACTAACAATCATAGCAATACCTTCTTCTATCTCTCCTAATGACCAATATTATATTACACTCACAATAGACACTGAACTAAACATCTAGATAGTGATAGCAAGGGCATGTGTCATAGCCACTGAAAATCATTTTTATTATATCTTCAGCAGGGAGAAAAAGGTATAAGCAGGATAAGCAAACACGATCACCTCTGAGAAAAAAGAGTTTAATGAAGAGAAATACTGCGGATCAATTTAATCAGGAGATCCAGGACAGCATCTCTGCTTGCTTCCTGTTTGGGAGAGCCCATTCTACTTCTAGCATCAATAGTAGCCTCGGCTGCTGTGGGGAGAGTCTGGTCTAGCTTTATCAATTACCTGGGCTCCTGTGGGAAAAGCCCCGTTCTACTTCTAGTGTCATTGGTCACCTGGGCTCCTGTGGGAAGAGCCTGTTCTGCTTCTGGCATCATGGGTTACCTGGGTCGACTGGGAGACCGCTTCATCCAGGGCCACAGCTCGCTTCTTGACATCTTCTTTAATTTGGCTGTAAAGGGCATCAGCGGCCACGTACTTCTCTTGGATAGAGAAGCCCTCCTCGGGGCTCAGCTCCAGCAGCTGGGGCCCGGTCTTGTTCATCTTATCGATGTGGGGCTTGTGCTCCGCTATCAGCTCTCGCAGTTGCTGTAACAATCGAAAGGGGTCTCTCCTCAGCATCCCGGGGCCTCACCCGCACATCTCAGCGTCCCGGGGCCTCACCCGCACATCTCAGCATCTCGGAGCCTCACCCGCACATCTCAGCTTCCGCACCGGCACCCCAGTGCCTCCAGCTGGCAGCAGGCTCTCAGCGAGCACCCTCCCCCTGCCTGGCTTTCGTTCACACATGATGGTGTATGCAAACTCAACAGCATGTACAACGTATGATTGTGTGTGCAACACATGACATGTACCACGCATGACAGCAATGCAACTCATGAAGGTGCATACAACACATGCTGGCATGTATAAACATGCTGGCATGTACAATACATGACTGTACGACACGCGACAGCGTGTACTACACATGACGGCACGTAGGCCACATGATGGTATGTACAGCCATGACTGTGCATACCACGTGGTGACATGTGCCCCCGTGATGGCCTGTACAGTTCAGTGCCAGGAAGGAGAGGCTGGCACGCAGCTCTATCAATTACCTGACACAGTCAGGTAACGGTCAGCACAGTCACGCCTGAGCCCCTGCAAGGGGACAGCTCACAGTGCACCTTGTGCACCAGCAGCGCACTTGAATAGAGCATTCACGAGTCCTTTCACGTGGAAAGGTTCCCTAGAGAGACGAAGGTCTAACCCCAAGGGTTCCTTTTGACATTCATGACATGTATAAAACAAGGAGAGGAAGGGGAGGAAGGAGAGCTGAAAGAAACAGTAAACTACAAATACTGGAGGAAGAAAGACCTCAAGATAAAAGGATCTGAGAGTGATCTCCTCATCCACAGACACTGCTTTAGACACGTGAAGCTATACAAATGGTGCATGCTCGTATTCCACTGTACTGTAGATGCAATAAGAATCCAGTCTGCACTGAGGACACACGCACATCAGCAATCTACTTCTAGTCATTATTCTAAAATGTTGGCGTTGCAAGGGCAACTCAAATACACAGCTATAAGTTGAGCATTATTTGTAAAATGTGCAGGCACTAAAGGATTATGTTACTTAATTTTGTCCTCTAACCAGGGCAAACAGTGACAGCTTTTCATGGCTCAAGGCCAAAGCCATCCCTTGGGAAGCTTTGCCAGGACGTTCGGGAACAGCCTCTAGGCTGAAGTACAAAAAGCCTTCCTTTTGTCCCAAGTCATGGACTGGGTTTCTTGCAGCATTTCCTGTCTCCATACTACTGACCAGCCCACCTCCAATCACAACTTCTCTCATTCATTGAGAAGAACCCCCAGGATGGAAGCAGAACTGGCTTTTTATTCAGTGTGCATTAAAACCAGTCATAAGGGCAGTGGAGGCACGGCGTAAGTCCACACAGAACGCTGCAAAGGCAGGCACTGGAGACGTCTCATGCATCCCCAATAGGCATTCTTGAAAGTACACTTGGCTCTGAGTGATCGACACAGGAGAGATCGCATCTGTGCCTGTCCGCTGTGGCGTCATTAGCCAGGGGCGTGGGTGAGACCCTCCTGTGACAGGCCAGGGAAACCACTGGTGTCTACTCGGGGGTGTGCACGTGTGAGTGCAGGGCCTGGGGAGAGAGCCTGGCTCCGCACACGTGAGACCGGCCACCCTGGACACATTCAGCATGACTGTGAAGAATACTAGTATCTGTCACCAGCCTTAAACTGTGTTCATTCCCACCTACAGCATCTCAACAAACTGAAGGAGAAGACATGAAGCTGGAAAGAGACCGTGAGAGAGGGGCATGAGAGAGAGCTGAGGCCCAGGAGTGGAAAAACTTGCCTGCAAGGCCTATGTACTAGTGCAATCCAGACTTGCTCTGCAGGTTTAACTACTATGTGAAAGAGGAACTAATTCCATTTGGAAAACGAGAGCTCAGTAACCAACTTTCTACTTGATGCTATGCTAAATACACCTATTGATATCACCCATCTGAGCAGAAAATCTATGCAAATTTTACATTAAAAATAATTTAATGAGGAGATATCAAGACTTCTGCAAGATAAACACTGATACTAAATTAAATTCAGTTCTACATGGTTTCTCTTCCTCTTGAGTAATTTACACAGTACCCTTGTAAACTCATTTTTCCTTAAAGTGTTCTCTAGTGTGTCTTTAAAGAAATAGTTAAAGATATTCTTCAATGCCAATATACTAAGGAAGTAAACAAAGTAAGTACAGCATATGTTCCCAAGAATGATGTAATGTACTGACAATGTTCTGTCTGCTCACCCTGCCTTCCCTCCTCATACACACACATTGATACACATGCACACATGGATCACACACACACATACACACATGTGCACTGCTTACTCTCCAAGTGCACCTCATACAGATCAGGGAGAACGGTTCTAGGTTCACACGTCCATAAACAGAAAGAACTCCAGAAGGCTTTCTTTTCCTGACAGTCTTCAGCTCTGTCTTGCACATGTCCTCACAACACTGCACGTGACAGTAACAATGAAGTGACTGCCAGATGAGGGCTTCACAGTACAGTTTAAGACTTTGGAAAAATACTCCCTACACTTACAGGAGCAAGAGACCCACGGGCGCAGAGGCAGGCCACACTCATCGCCCAGCGCCATGTACACGCCGCCCGGCTCCCTGAAGTGGCTATTTTGAGTTATTCCCAAACCTGCACTTTCTCCAAGCTGATGGTTCTATGTGATGACTTGTCCACTCATTTCTACTTTTTTTGTTGTATTCGATATGGCTCTGACGACTACATGTAATATATGAGTTAGCCTACAGGAATAAGCTGAACGCTCTTCCCAAGCTCATTCACCTGGCATTTATAACTGGGACTCTTCTTCCTGCAAGATGGTTTATATAGCCTGTTATTCTATAAGAGCTGTAATGCAATTATGGCCATACATAAGGATGGGATAGTCTTCTTACTGCAGTCCTGGGTCATGCACGCTAGGAAGGTGGGTGGTCCAGTGAGGTCAGACATGGTCTCACCAAAGTGTCCCAGATTGAGAGTGGTGTCTGATGCAGTAAGAGCCGCGCCTAGGCTGCTGCACCTAACCCCAGCTCACCCGGTGCTCCTCCTGCTGCTGCCTCAGCGTTTCATACTCGAGAGCAGGGGCCGGAAGCTGAGAGATCACTCTTTGGGTTTCTGTCAGCCACGGCCAGAGTTCTTCGTATGTCTCCCAGAACTGGCTCACCAGCGACTGTGCCCGTTCGAGCTGCAGATACCGCTCTGAGTTTATCTGGCATATGGCATCATAGTTTTTCAGTATCTTGTCCAGTTTTTTCTGGAAAATCAGATGAAGAAATGTGTTGTGACATTGGCTGGCACACCTCTCGGGTGCTGAGACCAGTACTGCATAGGTCCTAGGTGGTACACAGGAGGCCCTCATCAAATGTATGTGAAACAAAAAACTACCCAGTGTAGCGGGTATAAGTGCAAAAGTTCATTTCACGAGGACCTCAGTTTTTATGCATGGAACACCAAGCTTGCCCAACATAGTAAGCATGATTCTCTAGCTGTTAAGGCTGGAAAACAAGCTCCATTTGGTTTCTACCAACATATACATTATTTCCTGGGGGAAAATAAAGACTACCTTTTGCAAATGAAATTGTAATAATTGCTAGCCAACTAAACCAATAAAAGCTATTAGGACCAAAACAGGGCACTGCAGCACATCCTTTTGAGAGGACAGTCATGGTGATGTGTTATATATAAATTTACAGTAAACTAACAGCACAAGAGGAACCCAATAGTAACCCACACTTAGAGAATGACACAGAAATTATTTCATAACAATCTGCATTTTTCATGTCTGTATCTCCACCAGAATTAAGAAAATTGCATTACAGAAGCAGATTTTTTACAGAGTATAAAAATCAGGCACAGGTAAATAGGGATACAGGTGGACCCATTGCAACAATGAGATGTACAAGTCGTTGTGTCAAAAATGAACTTTACAACTTTGGTGTGTGTGGGGGAGGATTAGGTGGGGGGGGGGGAAATGGGGGGGGCGGGGGGAGGATGGGAAGGGATGGGAAGGGGAAACAAAGGAGGAGGCTACAATGCTTGGTAAGAAATGTACTCATTATCTTGCCCATGTAATTATAACCCCTCTGTATAGTATTTTCAAAATAAAAAAAAAAAACTATCCAAAAAAAAAATCAGACACAGGTACTTGCACGTACCTTATTTTCTCTCATCCACATACATTCCTGTGGATGCCTCAACACTGCCCTGCAGGGCCATGAAAGCTATAACCTCCGGCACTTCCTCATCTATCAGCTCACCCCTTTTCCTCTAGGGAAAAGTTGAGAGAACTGCACATTTCAGGCTTTGTTTTAGCTCAAGGTGTGAACATTCTAGAAGCACAGACACCATGGCCAATGTATATAGTAACAGTAGTTCATACTGATAACAAGGGGAATGACAGAGCTAACATTTAACTGGATGCTTAACATATACTAGGCAGCCTAGAACTCACATCTGTGAACTTCTCTGCCTGTTAAAAAGACAGCCCTCCTGGCGCTGCTCTGATGCAACATTCCTGCCACCAGTGGGCTTTGTAAGCTAATGAGTTTGCAGCTTGAACCACAAGCTTTGGGTAAGGGAAAGTGGACCTGAAGATTTAACTCAGCCCATGTTCACTCAGAACCTCTCCAGCAGGCACACAGACAAGATGATACCTTCATTGATTGCTTTTCCTCTTCAGTGCATGTGGTCATGATTTGGTGCCCAGATTTTACAAGCTCATCAATAATATCTTTGTGTCTCAAAATCTCCATGGTGAAGGTCTGTAGTTGACCAAATACAGGTGAATATAGAAAAAAATGAAGACAGTTAGGCAATAGTTGAAGACACCATCTGGCTCATGTGAGGGGCCTAGACAAGCCAAGGATCTGATCTGGGGCTTCATCACCTTCTGGGCCTGCAGCTGGGCCGAGGTCTGGTCTTGCTCCAGCCTGATGTCGCCCAGGGACACCAGTCTCTTCTGTGTGTTGCTGATCCAGGTCAGCTCAGCATCAGCCGCCTGGTCAAACTAAACAAAGGATAAATCATGAGGTCAACAAGGTCCTGCAACCATTGCCAAGAAGTACCTAGTGACAGTTCTATTAAATATCCTTATTACATGAGTGGAAACTCTGAGCATGGCTTTTCATGACATCCTAAAATAATGTGTGAGAGGGGCTGGGGCTGAAAAATAAAGACAGGAGTCATGAAACATAGGCGCTTCTGATGCCCGGCATCTGTAGCGCCCTGTTACCAATTCAGAACAACTCGCGCTGCCGTCTTTGTTGCCATCAGTCAGAGGAGGAATGCGCGTTGCTGCCTGCAATGCTATCTATAGTCATTGGACCTGTCACCCTACTCACATGGTACAAGGGTAGCGTTTTGCTCTCCATTCATGCTCTACAGCAAAGCCTGGAATGATCCTAGGTACTTGCCATACTGTGTGTCTGGAGGCCAACGTATGTTTCTGTGTGTAGAGCACACCCTTAGCAGATCACAGATCAATTGCATTTGTTTCTGTTTGTGCACTAGGGCTTGAACTCCAGGACTGGCCACTATCCCTTAGCTTGTTCTGCTCAAGGCTGGTGTTCTACCACTTGGGCCATAGCTCCACTTCTGGCTTTTTTACTGGTTAACTGAAGAAGAGTCAATTTTTTCTGCCTGTGCTGACTTCGAACCAGGATCCTCAGATCCCAGCCTCCTAGTAGCTAGGATGACAGGTATGAACTATATACCTGCTCACGTACATGATTTTTTCTCTGTTACCCAGCTACTTTTTTTTTTTTTTTTAAATCTATCTTGGGCTGGGAAGGTGGCTCAGTGGGAGAGTGCTTGCCTTGCATGCATGAGGCCCTCAGTTTGATTCCTCAGCACCACATAAGCAGAAAAAGCAAGAAGTGGTAGTATGGCTCAAGTGATAGAGCACTAGCCTTGAGCTAAAGAGCTGAGGGACAGTGCCCAGTCCCAGAGTTCAGACTCCACGACCAACAAAAAATAAATAAACAAAATAAATAAAATTTAATCTTATTAATAACCATACATTAGTGGCATAAGGAGGATTTCACAGTTATCATTCCACAGATGCATACAGCGAACTTTGACACGTTCACTGCTCCGTGTTCCCATGACCTCTTCTGTCTCCCACACCCCATCCCTTTCCAGATGGTGTGCTGGGATTCATTATGCTGCATGCACATATGCAACATGTGCACATATACATATATAAATATATATACACACACACATATACGTATACATGTATTTCAATCTTCTTTACTTCTCAGTATCCTTTCCATCTTCCTTGTCCCATGTATAATTTTTAAACATCTCATTAAGTAATGCAAACATTTTAAGAAATTTTTTTTTGCAGTTTGAACTCAGGACTTGCTGTGCAAAAACTCAGTAGTCTGAAATATATGAAGAGATTTTGTTTTCCTGACCACAGCAGTAATTCATGCATACAGCAGAAATTCTTAAAGCACAGAAAAACCTACAGAAAAAAAATTAAAACTTGTAGTTAATCCCAATACTATCATATTTCAGCATTTCTTCTAGAAACTAAGAAAGATGGACTTATTTAAGTCTGGTATAATGCTGTATAAACAGTTCCTAGCCTGCTTTTCCACATAATATTCTTTTTGTGTGTGTGCCAGTCCTGGGGCTTGAACTCAGGGCCTGGGGTGCTGTCCTTGAGCTTCTTTGCTTGAGGCTACTGTTCTACTACTTGATCCACAGCTCTACTTCTAATTTTTGTAGGGTTTTTGGTAGCTTATTAGAGATAAGAGTCTGCCACCTGCCTTCGAACCACGATCCTCAGATCTCAGCTTCTTGAGTAGTAAGGATTACAGGCATGAGCCACCAGCGCCAGGTCCACATTGTATTATTTTAAATGTGTATTTTAGCATTCCTGCATGTTCTTACTATTAGATACACAGCTCTGAATGAAGAGCTCCTTGCAAGGGGATCCATTCCTTGGCATGCGTTTCCAGGAGTCAGGAGCATCGTTTGCAAGCCCAAGGCCATTCCTGGTGACAGTCATCAAAAACGAATGGTGTGGACAGTGATATGGACAGTAACCCAACAGGGCCCCTGCTGGAAGAAGGCCTCTGGGGGGTAGTCACTGAAGGACATCAGTCCAGATGGGAGTAGGGGAAATTACTGGGTCAGGGAAGAGAAAGGTGGAGACAGGAAGCAAGATTAGAAAAGAACCCCAGTTTTAGAGCTGGGCATGGTCATATACTCCTGTAATACCAGCTACTCTGGAGGCAGAGGCAGGAGGATTACAGTTTGCAGGAAGTCTGTGCCAAGTTAGCACAAAACCCTATCTAGAAAAAACACAAGGCAAGAGGGCTGGGGGGCAGAGGTCAAGTGGTAGAGCACCTGCCTGGCAAGCCTGAAGCCCTGAGTTCAAACACCATTACCACAAAGAGACAAAACAAAAATGAACACAGGCTGTGGGCAGGTGGAGTGAATGACCCTTTCTCAGCTCCTGGTGCTAAGTTCATCTCAAGCCCTTGGGAACAGGGGCCAGAGAGAAGAGGGCCGAGTGTTGTGGGCAGTGCCCCGGGAGGGCACGTAGTGGCTTTGCTCCATACTTCACTGGTCCAGGGCCAGATGGGGGAGAAACTGGCAATGCACCAGCTCCAAAAGACACAGATGTACAGTTAGTACAAGACGTTAGCAATTCCTGAGAAACACTCTTCACTGGTAGCTAGCTGTCTGCTGAACACATTGCTCTAAGAGCTTCACACACAGAATCTCCTTTAACTCAGACCACAGATGCACACACTGGACATTTCCACGAACCCATTTACAGCCAGGGAAGCAGGGAAGTTAACCCAGCCAGGACATTCAGCCTCAGGAACTACCCTCTCCTCTCTTATCTTCCTGAATATGCTAAGGGATTCAGGAAATCAAGACAGTGATTTCACCAAAAACGGCTCAAGTACTAAAAAGATCAGTAACTAACACTTACTATGTGGCACACAATGTATATTGCAGGGCTGGAGGTTGAACCCAGAACCTCTGGCATGCTGGGAAAGCTGTGACTCAACAGTCTGTGATAGCCTGCTTTTGAAACACACCCTTTAAGCTGAACGGGGCCCTAAGAAAGACCATGTGGTGACTGTGTTTTAGCCTCTCCCCCCTCCCCTGGCCGGGGAGGGGGCACTCATCACTTTTCTTTGATTGGCATTTCCTTCCACTCAGTGACTCCTTACTCTTCACACAGCCTGGAGGGTCTCAATCAATCTCACTTCTGCAGGTGATATTTTTCTCCAGGCCTGACTGCTAGAGGCCCAGTGAGCTGTTGGATCTAATGGGACTCCAATGGGCTGGAGAGCAGGGTTTCTATGGGTCCCCTGACATAAGCAAGCACTCAGAACTGACCCCATGATTTGCAGTCCAGCAAACTGCACTACTGATAAACACATCTGTATATGCACAAGAGACAAAGGAGAATGAAAACTAAGGTTTAAGAACCTCAGTGGTGTGAACTGGGCACGCCAGTCTGTAACTCTTTTAAGCAGAAGTGCCTCTCCCCATTTCTACAGGGTTCATTTGACTCCATTTTCAGTGAGAGAAAGAAAGCCACAAAGATATGTTACTTCGTGCAGGTTCAAGCAGGGACATGTGCAATGTCTGACTCAGATAAATGGAATATGCTGTGGGAGATCTGTGGCATGTATTGCCGGAGGGTTCATGGTATGTATGTGGTGCAGACTGCAAGAGGACATGTGGTATGTACTGTGGGAGGGCGTAGGATAAACACACAGTGCATATGGTGGAAGGGTAAGAGGTACATATGCGGGAGGATATGTGGTACACACGTGGTATATTCCGAGGGAGGATACGTGGTCTACACCCCGAGAGGATACAGGGTGTACACATGGGGTATACAGTGCAGGAGGATATGTGGTATACACATGTTACATACCGTGGGAGGACACATGGTATACACCCTGGGAGGGTATGTGGTATATATATGCATATACCACAGGAGGCCATGTGGTATACATGGGATATATACCGTGGTAGGATACATGTGATCCCAGTGAATGAGAAACTTCATTCAAGTTTACATAGGGCTCTTTCTTGTTGGCACAGCACTTTTACTACACCAGTGTAATCCCTCACCTCCAAACCAACTTCCTAGGAAGTCAGCGTTCTGTCCTGCTCTTTAGAGAAGTCTTCAGTGCCAGTTCCAAAATGGTGAAATAAATTTTAGTGGAAAAAACTGCAGTATTTTTAAATACTGGAATAAACACACACACAAACACACTTATTTTCCCATTATAATGAGACATGTGAATTCCTCCACTTTGAGAACAGAGTCTGGCAAACACACTCCTCGGGCATGAATGCCTTCCCTTGTAAACATCCCTGAGGCAGAGCTTTGTTATCATGGTATTCCATCAGCTTCTGTAACTCCTCTGAGCTACGTGAAGACAGGGGTGGGGCACTGTCTGTAGAAGCACATTAGAACACTGGGTCTGGATGCTCCTAGGAGCGTTGGTTTGATTTGTGTTTCAGGCTTTTGGGCGGTGTTAATAAAAGCCTAGTTGCATACTTTCCTGAGTCCCTAGCAAGACCACACCACTTTCACCCCAAGCTTACAATCAGAGTCTGATGACTCGATGTAAACAGACACAGATATCTGAATAAAAGTTAATACAAATGTACTACAAATACCCTCCCCAGGTCCACTTGGCTGCTTCGTGCCTCCTGTCGGCTGTGGCTAAGGACCTACAAACCCTGTGAGCCACAGACAGGGCACACATCGTCATCTCTTCCCCTCCAATCATCTTCCAAAAAAACCCACATCAGTAACCAAACTGTTTCCTTTTACCAAAGAATACTCTGTCTTTGCCACAGCTTTATGTAAATGAAGAGTTAACACCGACTTATACACTCATTCAAAATGCTTACTGGCAAAGCTCAGGCTCAGCTGAGGTATAAAAGTAACAACAGCCAAACGCCACTGTGCAGACAAAAGGTGTTTTGTTTGGAGAACAGGGCTGAGAGCAACAGGCAGATGGCTGCTAATGATGTATTCATACGTGGCCCCACCAAATTCTATTCAAACTCCATCTTTCGTTTCTGAAGCACAGAGGAGGGCTGGAAACTCTGCTAACAGACATCTTTGTTCAGGTAAGGGCTGCAGAAACAGCAGAAGAGAATTTACTACCTAGACACAACCCACTTGTCCCTACCTGCTGTGACCGGAGAATGGCGGCGTCAATCTCCTCCACCTTCTGAGCGATGGAGTTGCTCACCAACCGGTAGCGCTCATTGTCCTCGGCTACCATCTTCTCCAGCCCCTCTCTGGCCCTCCAGGGGACCAGCTCCAGCAAGGCAGTGCTCACTTCATTCAGGGAGTCCAGGAAGGCTTTGTTGTTCTTAACTTCCTTTTTCAGCTCCTGAAGACATACAAACTCATGGTAAGAGTCTCACCAGGCAAAGTCCTTTGCTGGGCCCTCGGGTCATGCTTTTGGTGTCTTAGTTACAGATGAATTAAATAAAACTTTGTCTTAGCCACTCAGGAGGCTGAGACCTAGAGAACTGCAGTCCAAACACAGCCCAGGCAGAAAAGTCTGCAGCTCCATCTTTACTGAACCAGCAAATGCCTGAATGAAGGCATAGATCATAGTGTAAAGAGTAAAGAAGCAGAATGAGAGTATAAAGCCCGAGTTCAAGCCCTTGTACCAGCACAAAATAAAAAGTTAAAATAAATAAATATTTATGTATTTTATGGCTGTTTTGCAATAAGGAAATGCCCCCAGAGAAGTGCAAGCAACAATTTATTTGCTAATGTAGTGACAAGATTTTACTATATTTACTATATTTACTATATTTTTAATATATTTAATGTTTAATATATTTAAAATTGGGAAAACAAACACCACGCAAGTTCACATGTACCATTCTTGGCTTTCTTGGAACCTCTATGTGCCACCTAACAGACAAGGAGAGAGAGGATATCCTGAGCCAGAATTAAGTGACCTTCAAAATCAGGACATACTGGTACAAAGTCAACAAAGCAGTTGACTTGTCATAGGCTTGGTGGGTCTGACCTCCAGCCCTGAGACACCAGGGATGATCACATTCCAGGGACGATTGTACAGCAATGACAACACCACCAAGGACAATGCCATGGATGATCACATTCTAGGAATAATCACACACCAGAGATGGTTATACTCCAGGGACAAGCGTACACCAGGGATGGTTGTATACCAGGATGGTCACATACCAGGGTTGATCACATTCCAGGGATGACTGTACAACAGAGACAATCATAATCCATGGACAATCACACACCAGAGATGACTGTACTCCAAGGATGATCATATGCCAGGGACAACCGGACTCCAGGGATGAACACATGGCAGGGATGGTATGGACAGAGGCTGGCGTGTCTGAGGGTAAGAATGACTCCAAAGGCAGGTCCAGCCCTGTTGTGTTGCGGTCAGAAAACCCATTCTGGGCTACACCTCTATCAGACAGAAAAGATGTGTCCCCATTCTACATTAATTACACTTAAATAGTGATCATTGTCCTTTCTCTGGTCTTTATCATTCTGTTCCTAGTGTGTCTACTCTGGTAACCACAACACTCTTGACACAAACTCTAACACATCATTTTCATCTTTGGGTTCGTGAGAATACAAACTGTTAAGTTTGCTGCCAACTCGCACTGGGTTCCCACCCATCCTTCAGCATCCTAGCAGTGCCGGGAGGAAAGACGATTTCACTCCTGTGTGGGTCAGACTAGAAGACAGCCAGCAGATCGCGCGGAGTGTACCAGGCCTACCTTCTGTCTCGCCTGCACCTGGCCCGCATCTGCTTTCGGGACCTGTGACTCGAAGGAGAGCATTTCCACCTCCACTTGGCCCAGCCAGGTGCTCAGCTCCTCGTGTGTGGTATGCAGCCGCCCTGAGAGCTGCAGGGCTTGCTCCAGAGTCTCAGCCACATCGCTGCTCAGTTTTGTAATGTCTTTGTACCTTGCTTTAATGACTTCCAATTTATCTTGGATGACTAGAACTTCATCACCTAAAAGGCAAAGACAGGTACTTCCTTAGGAAAAGGGGAGAAGGGTGGGGAGGCAGGTCTTTTTCAGTAATACTGTACAGATCTCTAAAGATGATCTGACCCAACAGACACTCTCATTAGGTTTTCATCTTTTCTGAGGTTGCTAGAAAATCTAATCAGCTCCAGAACTACAAATGAAAATGTGCCTCTCACTCCATGGGAAGAGGCTACTGGACAACGAACGGCCCACCATGCCTCTAGCTTGGAAGCTTGGGGTGGTAACAGGCTCAGGCTCAGCTGACGAGCCTCAACGTCTCCCTTGGCTCACAAGGAGCTACTGTGTTGGGCGGAATGTGTAACCTCTCATTACTCACGTCCACTTTTCCAGGGAATTCTTGCCTGTCTCTACGTCCCTTACAGAGTCATAGAAAAGGTGTCGTAGGCTTCACATTTCTAGGTAAGGGTTCTATACAATTTAGCATTCCTCCAACTCTGAACAGTAAGGGTGATCTTACCTAGTACATGTGTCATCTCCTCTAGTACACGTGTCATCTCCCTGTACACGTGTCATCTCCCTAGTACACGTGTCACCTCCCCTAGTACACGTGTCATCTCCCTAGTACATGTGTCATCTCCCCGTACACGTGTCATCTCCCCGTACACATGTCATCTCCCCATACACGTGTCATCTCCCTGTACACGTGTCATCTCCCCATACACGTGTCATCTCCCTAGTACACGTGTCATCTCCCCATACACGTGTCATCTCCCTAGTACACGTGTCATCTCCCCGTACACGTGTCATCTCCCCGTACACGTGTCATCTCCCTGTACACGTGTCATCTCCCTAGTACACGTGTCATCTCCCCGTACACGTGTCATCTCCCCATACACGTGTCATCTCCCTAGTACACGTGTCATCTCCCTGTACACGTGTCATCTCCCTAGTACACGTGTCATCTCCCCGTACACGTGTCATCTCCCCGTACACGTGTCATCTCCCTAGTACACGTGTCATCTCCCTAGTACACGTGTCATCTCCCCATACACGTGTCATCTCCCCATACACGTGTCATCTCCCTAGTACACGTGTCATCTCCCCGTACACGTGTCATCTCCCTAGTACACGTGTCATCTCCCCATACACGTGTCATCTCCCTAGTACACGTGTCATCTCCCCGTACACGTGTCATCTCCCCGTACACGTGTCATCTCCCTGTACACGTGTCATCTCCCTAGTACACGTGTCATCTCCCCGTACACGTGTCATCTCCCCATACACGTGTCATCTCCCTAGTACACGTGTCATCTCCCTGTACACGTGTCATCTCCCTAGTACACGTGTCATCTCCCCGTACACGTGTCATCTCCCTGTACACGTGTCATCTCCCTAGTACACGTGTCATCTCCCTAGTACACGTGTCATCTCCCTAGTACACGTGTCATCTCCCCGTACACGTGTCATCTCCCTAGTACACGTGTCATCTTCCTAGTACACATGTCAATTCCCCGTACACTTGTCATCTCCCTGTACACGTGTCATCTCCCTAGTACACGTGTCATCTCCCTAGTACACGTGTCATCTCCCTGTACACGTGTCATCTCCCCATACACGTGTCATCTCCCTAGTACACGTGTCATCTCCCTAGTACACGTGTCAATTCCCCGTACACGTGTCATCTCCCTAGTACACGTGTCATCCCCCTAGTACATGTGTCATTCCCCTAGTTCATGAGTCATCTCCCTAATACACGTGTCATCTCCCCTAGTACACATGTCATCTCTCCAAGAACATGTGTCATCTCCCCAGTACACACATCATCTCCCCAGTACATGTGCCGACTCCTCTAGTACATGTGTCATTTTCCCAGTACCTGTGCCTGGTCCCCTAATACACATGTCATCTCCCCTAGTGCACGTTACTGAACTGCATATTGATTTGAAAGTGGTATTTTCCAGCGAGCACAGTGCTCCTAAAGCAAGTTAGTTTCTCTGAGCTCTTTTACACTCCTCTTGTGCAGGTACTGAACTATCTGTTTTACAATGGCTCAAGTATGATTGTAGTAAGTTGGTGGATTGCCATAGCATGAGTCATTGTGAAGCAATCTACCTTTAAAAAAAAACAACCCCACACTGTCCACCACCAGCACATTTGTCTGCCCCCTTCCACAGAGGAAGGCTGAGGTAACTTCATCATGGGCTTCTCGGCCATGAAAAATCTTTAGGTGATGAGTAATGCACACAGCATCCACCAAGAGCTTAAATGAGATCATGAGAAAAGAGGAGGACTGGACTCCAAAGCTCTGTTGACTGGCCTTCAAAGCAAAGTGCAGACCCAGGTCTTGGAGAAGGCTCGTCTGTTTTTCCCTCTACTTCTAAAATCTTTCAAAGGTGATGCACATGCAGACAACACGGTAGTTTGACTTGCAGCTGTGGTTTGTCCTCTCACCTGTGGTTTGTTTGAGTAGTTCTAAGCCATTTAGTTGTGCCTGATCCACACTTTGTTTCCTGAGCATGATGTCTTCTTGTAGAACCTGCAAACACAGGAACCATTTGCACATGGGAGAGAGACTTCAATCAGTGTTACCATTCATTATTGCCAGAGAACTTTGATCTCTCACCTCTGAGAGCTAGGTCTCACAGAGCTGTGCATGAGCCAACACCGCAATACTCAAAAATAGCCACTGTTCTCATGGTTACAACTCTTCTTTCTACCTCATCCATGCTCACAGTCATAACTTACCACACCCTCCTTTCCAGAAGATGCTCAGGGCCCTGTGGAAACTGGCAATGCGGAAAGACCGAGGCACCAATTCACGGTGGGTCCCATGGTAAAATCACAAAACACAGAGGGAAAAATCCAGCTAACTGGATAAATTCAATTCCCATTTATGAGCAACTATAAAAGAACCCTGTATACACAAGCAAAGTGCTTTTCTGAGTATAGCCAATCACATAAATCATAATGGACACAGAAGAATGCAGAAAAAGAAAGATAAAATAATGACAACAGAAATGAAAGGAAACGAACTTAAATAAATGAAAATACCCGAAGCTCGGCCCGCTGTTTCCGCAGTCCCTCGGGGCTGCACTCCCGGACCTGCAGTTGGCCCAGCTTGCCGTGCACTTCGTTCAGCCAGTTCATCAGCTCAACTTCATCCTCCCCGAAAATCTTAGCATTACATAAGGCCTGCTGGAGGAGCTCAGACCTGCTGTGACTTCTCTCTTGAATCTCAATGTACCACACTTGCGAGGAGTCTAGTTTACTCTGCACCATATCCTTATCCTCCCTGGAGCTCAAAACCTTTAAGGACTGGCCAGCGCTAACAGCCTGGTGTAAATGTTTACTGTGAATGATGATGTCATCTTCTAAGGCCTACATGAAGTTTCAAAAAAGGAAGAAAATAACAAGAATGGACAAATAAAAATGAAAACAGAACTTAAATGACATTTGAGATGATTTAGTTGGCAAGTATGTCAAAACAAAACAGTAACACATAACTCAAAAGTCACGTCACAAAACCATAAAACAAATGGAAAAGTACGTCTGGCGGGTGTGCGATTTGCATCTTACTTTGTGCTGGGCAATTTGCTCCTCCAGTTTGGATGCTTGGGTTCCTACGGGTTCACAGTTCGCCAGCCTCTTCTCCACGGTCGTCAGCCAGTCATTCAGCGGTTCTAAGGTTTCATGAAACAGCTGGGCTACCACCGAGATGCCTTCCAACTGACGGTTCCTGTAAATGCACCAGGACCACGGTCCGTCAGCGAGGAGGGAGGTGTGAAACGGTCCACAAAAGCCTTCCCTCGTCTTCTCCCACTCCAGCCTAAACGTTTTTGGTAGACATCCCCTAAGGGTAAAATTTCAATCTACCATTTAGAGGGCATGTCACAATAGTTCTTAGATTAAATAAAGTGGAACTTTATTTAGATTAAATAAAGTGGCCTTCACACGTCCCTGGGCCTCATGGAGGGTAAAGCCATCTTTTCTAACAATGATCCTAACACTCCTGGGGATCATTACAGCCATGTTATAGCCATGTTCTGTCAACAGCACCACAGCGACCACGAGGAGGACAGGCTGAGCCCAGAGGCCATGTGCAGCTGTGACAGGCATCATGTACTCATTGCATACCAGCAGCTGAGGTTATGTACCCAAAGGGTCACGTGACCCACGCACACCTTCCCTGAGTTGGCGGAGAATGCTACTCGATGAAAGCAGAGTGTCTGCTGGATTAGCCAGAAGCAGCGGCTAATGCTTTAAGGATCACACCAAGTTCTCAACTTCATTGAAGGCCTGCAATAGTTTGAGAGAACTCTCCGCTCAACTGCAGAGGGTCCAGTCCACAGCTGCTTTCTGAGCCTTCAGCTTGTCCATAGTGCCCAGGGACCTTGCTATATAGAACAGGGCATCCAGCCCACTCAACCCTGTCAGAACCTGTGTCACAATCGAAAATGGTGCTGTCTTCACCTTAATTCCTAGGGAAATACAGGACTGGAAAAGTTAGCTGTCTATGAAGACAAAATTGGTTACAGAAATTGGGGCCATCTTCATCCTACCCCTAGATGGCTATATTACAAACCATATATACACAAAACTTTTCAAAGACCTTTCATGGAACCGTGTATGTTTCCTTTTAACTTCTGGATTATCTCTAGTTATGACTCCCTTTCTTCTATATCTATCTGGAATCAATGGAAATGATAGGTTTATAATGACTTTTCTCAGTACTGGATTTTGAACTCAGGACCCTTGTGTTTGTCAGACCAGTGCTTTACCACTTGAGTCATACCTCCAGCCCTGCTTTTTTGGTAGCTATTTTGAAGATGGAGTCTGAGGAACCTTTTTGTTTGGCTGACTTCGAACTTCGATCTTCTAGATCTCAGCCTGAGTAATTAGAACTACAGGTATGAGCTACCAATCAGTGTGCAGCTGTAATGGTGTTTAATTGATTAAAGCTGTGGTTATGTGACCAAATCTGTGAACAACAGATGCAAGTATAAATGGTAATTATTACTAATATCCCTCCACCTGATACTGCTGAAGGAAAAGAAGAGTGGTTATAACAGTAAAGTGGAGAGGTGGGCATACACTTTTCTTTAAAAACAATTACTGTATTGTCAAAGCTCACAGAACTCATAAATGTTATAGACCACAATAGACAATTTGCCCCATGAAAGTTAGAATGTGTTTGTGACTTTAACTAAGCACAAACTATCCCACAATACTGTGAAATTTGGGGAATTATGTAATCACTTAATCACTATAAAGAATTAGAAAAACATAAAACAAAACAATCACTGGCAGAATCTCCCTTGCAGCCAGGGCAGGATGTCCAGGGAGTCGCACAGGGCCAGTCAGCTGGCCCGGATAAAGCAGGGGTTCAGCCCCCTTCGGGCACTTCACGCTGTGACCACAAAACTCAGGAGCAGTCGGAAGGAACTTCTCCCTCCCCACTAGTTCCAGAGGAAGCAGGAAAGTACGGAACAGGAAGTGGAGCTGTGACTCAGAGGTAGAGCACTAGCCTTGAGCTAAAGAGCTCAGGGACAGTGTCCCGGCCCTGAGTTCAAACCCTACAACAACAAAAAAAACAGACATCTATGGAACAAACTCGCTCTGTTCACAGGTTCTTCTGCTTTCACAACTGATTCTCAAGGTGTCTACACCGAACCTTCACCAGCCTCCCCTCCCCACCTACTCCACCCCTCCCCTCCCACAGCTCCGCTGTGCTTCCCTGCCCCGTCCAGGTTCTTCCTCTTCTGCACCCTCACACACCCTCAACTTTTGCTTGAAAACCTTCTCCACTGCTACACCCTGCTTGTCTGTACCCCAGCAGGCCGCAGGAGGGGCCTGAGGGGCTCGCTGGCCGCCAGAGCCCAGCTCTGTGCCCTGGCTCACAGGGCGGAGGTGAGCATGCGGCGAGTGAATGACTTGGCTGGGGACCGGTAGACAATACATGGGATCCAGAGGGTGGACACCGCAGTCCTCACGCCCACACCCAGCAAGCACGCAGACTCGGGATCCCCGCCAAGGCCAGCGGTCCTGCTCGGTGCGAGCCCGGAGCTCGGCCTCACCTGGCCTCAGCCTTCTCCAGCAAGGCCTCCCATCTGCTGTCCAGCAGGCCCAGCTGCTTCTCCACCTTTGCCCTGTCCGCAGGCTCTGCAGTGGCAGCCATCTTTTCTCCCTCCTGCTTGATAACCTCCACGGTAGACTTGCGGTCATCCAACAATCTTTGGAGAAGCTTGAGGCAAGACATTAAGAATATATGTGAAACAAATACAAACTAAATGTGCTTGAGGCATTTTAGGGAGCTGGACTGGTGGTTTGAACGTAGGGTCTCAGGCTTTCTAGGCAGATGTGCTACCATGATCCCCCGCCCTATTTTACACGCTTACATGTGCCAGAAGTACATAGTTTATGTGGATGCATGCATAAAAGGACTTAAGGAGTGGAAGCTTAAAGATGAGTAATTTGGCTCATTCACTGAACCTGTGGCAGACACAAGGGCCCTGGGGTAGGGTTTGTTTTTGCCGTTTTTTTAAGTAGAGGTTGCTGACCTCTGTAGTATTGAGTTCTAATATAAAATTTGGGATAAGGCCAATGAATCATGGGGAAAGTACAAACTCTCTTACTTGAATGAAATAAGAGTCTCCTAGCCATTTGATAATTATCTTCTCTGTCAAAGAAAAAAGTTACTGCAAACCACTTTCTTCAAAACTCCTATAACAGACAATGCAGTTAACACTCAGACCAGGCTAAGAGGTTAACAAGGCTAAAATAGGAGGTCACTGACCGACCATCTAAAGGAACAACTTTTAAATCCTGTCAAAGGATGGAAACTAAAAAAGATGGTTTTCACCTATCATCAGACAGGTGAGGATTCTCCGAAGTAAACCAAACAAGACCATACACTTCACAGTGTAGCAGCAGACACTTACAAAATTCAACTTAATTCTAATTACACATTCCAAGATGGCTACAACAGTGTTTGACCTGGGGAGCCAGAGCTCAGTGTTAAGATGCTGTATCTCATCTCATCAAAACCAACAGCCCGGGACCAGCTGCTGTGCACAGAAAGCATGTCTCCAACACGAAGTGAGGAAGGCCTCCTTAACCTGGTCCCAACCCATCATCAAAGACTGAGATTTGGCAAAGGCCCAGAAGTGAAATGCAAGAAGATGACTTGGGAATCAAGACAGGGACAGGAGGAAAGAGGAGGACAGTCTAAAAGGAACATCAGCTGGGAAGGCGGCTCAGTGGCAGAGCGCTCGCCTCGCATGCATGAAGCCCTGGGTTCCATTCCTCAGTACCACATGCACAGAAAAAAAAAGCCAGAAGTAGTGCTGGGGCTCAAGTGGTAGAGTGCTAGCCTTGAGCAAAAAGAAGCTCAGGCACTGTGCCCAGGCTGAGTTCAAGCCCCAGTCCTGGGGAGGGGGGGTGGGGGGGAAGGAAGGTCACAGGATCACACCTTCCCTTGACAAAGTTAGAACTGAGTGGGCTACTTTGGATGCACTTGAATAGCAACGATTCTAAAGAGTACAAAGGCAAAATTGGGGCTGAGAGTGTGGCCTAAGTAGAAAGCACACACACACATCAACAGATAGATTTTATTGGTTAATCACTGTTAACTAACTGGAGAGTACCTTTAAGTTGTAAATGGTGATCATTTCAAAAATCACATAAATGCACTAAGCTTCCAGCTCCACTCCATTGATCTTTACTTCTAACTTTATCTGTAATGGCATGCTAGGGCTTCCCAAGATTTTTAGTACAAGGTAATATGAGCTGACCCAGGGCCTGCCGGAGCTGCTGTGCCAGCCCCAGGCAGTAAGGTTTACATTTAAGAAAAAAAAAAAAGAGGAAGTGGCACTGTGGCTCAAGTGGTAGAGCGCTCACCTTGAGCTGAAGAGCTGAGGGACAGCGCCTAAGCCCAGAGTTCAAGCCCCACAACCGACAAAAAAAAAAAAAAAAAAAAGGCCAAATGCAGAAGTGTATAACTTTTTTAACTGGGAAACAGTAATTGTATGTATTTGAGATACCGTGTGATGTTCTGGTGTTGAAAAGATTAAATCAAGCTAAGCAATCTGTCTAGCACCTCACCTCCTCTATTTACCTTCCTCCTATATACAGAATATTTTAAAGCTTTTAAGCAGTTTTGAAATACATATTACCAGTTTTGCTAACTGAAATAAGCCAGAGATAGAAAGAGAAGTTAAATTTTAATTACATAGCTTTTATTTGCAAAACATTGAACTAGAAATCATGTACTTCCTTGTCTTTAAAGCCGGGCAGAAGAACCCCTTCCTGTCTCTCTGCACATCAGAGCAGCCACACCACCGCCCCACGGGGTCAGTAAATGCTGCACAACTAGCCACGGCCTTCGGGAGCCTGAAGCTACATGTGTACCCCAAGTCCTCAGCCCTATGAAGTTGTCATTCCCCAGGTGGGGGACTTAGCAAGGCCACAAAATCTGAGTGTATCGAGTCCAATGCTGGCCTTTTTTGCAGGCTAATCTATCAGAGGATGCCTTCCACCACCAGCCTACCATGTAAGAGGGCAGCAGAATGTCTGCCGGAGGCCACCCTGTCCAGAAGCCTTGGCACTGACATCCTCCGCACACAGAGTCCACCCCTCCCAGAGCCCTCCTGCCACACCCTCCGGTCACAACCTACAGACTTAGTCTATTGTCTTTCCCTTAGCCCTCCCTTCCCAATAAGCTTCAGGCTCATTGAGGGATTTGTGCAGTTTTTACCCTGTGCTATTTCCTCAACAACTCTGCAGAGCAGACCTTTGGCAAGTATTGGTTGCATGACTGACAAGAGCCAGGGACCAGATACCTTATCAAGGTAAACCTGAAGGTACATTTTAAACTCTCCATAAATGAGCTTTAATGTGCAACACAAAGGTACCACTGGCTTACCTTCTGCTCCTGTATCTGGGCCTTCACCACTTTGAACTCTGCGGAGGGAGGCTTCTGATTGGCCACCAGCTCCTCAGTGTCTGCCATCCAGCTGAGCAGGGACTCCAGGGCGTCCTGGAACCGCCCGCAGTGCAGCAGGGCTGCCTGCAGCTGCGCCGCCCGCTGGGCCACCTGCAAGGGGCCAGTTGTCTCCACTTATCACTTGTTTCAGAAAATACTCGAATCCGCCACCAGCCGCCGCCCCTCATGCTTATTTTTCCAGATCACTAACTTTTTTTCACTGCCAACCAAAGCACTGGGAGTGGGCAACACCTGAGTAGTAGAAAGTATGCCCCGAAGGCCAGGCCCTGAAGGTGAGTGCCAGGAAGGACAGTGGTTCCTGAGTGCTTGGATGTGCCCCTGCACGGTGATGACAGTGCACGGCTCTAATACTGTGACGGTATCGAGCGGAACAGCACTGGCTTCTCGTTCTTATCACTGCAATCAATTTTCCGTTCTACTGCTCAGATGAAAAGAAAGCATTATAGCAGAAAGACTCAGAATTTTATTTTGCTAGGAAAAGTAACTGTAAAATAGCCAGCTAAATTCTGCTCTGTCCAGCACTGGGGCCCCTTTGTGAAGAGCTAGGACCTGGCTTTCAAGCAAATGTCCTACATGGATCATTTCCTTGAGGAACAAAGCTGTAGTTGGCATGGTACTTGAGACCTCAAGAAATCTATTTACACACAACACTAAATTCCAGGTTGGTTTAGACAGCACTACAACAGAAGTCAACTTTAAAGAGTGATGGGTTTTAACACCTGTGCAGAACAAAAGATAACCACCAACACTACCAGCCCAACACCAGTGGATGAGGACCAGAGTCCCACTGAGTCAGGATGGCCGTCCCCACCTCTGCGGGCCAGGCTTGGCGTCACATGCAAAGCTGCCTGCCTCCGCGGGCCAGCAGTCTCTCAGATGCCAGGACATGATTTCTGGGATTTAGGAAGAGGTGGATCTGCCTCTTTCGGGTATATGGGTATTTTGAGTTCAGGGTCTACAGCCAGGCTGGCGGAGAGCTGCAGCTTCTTTCTCTTTGTCAGAGTGAAGCAAGTCCCAATGCAGGGATGAGTGGATTTTGCAGAGAGAGAGAGGGAGAGAGCAAGAAGGAGAGAGGAAGAGGGGGAGGGAGAGAGGGAGAGGGAGGAGGGAGAGGAGGGAGAGGGGGAGAGAGGGGGAGAGAGGGGGAGGGAGAAAGTGAGAGGGGGGAGGGGGAGAGAGAGGGCAAGGGAGAGAGGGAGAGGGGGGAGGGAAAGAGGGAGAGGGGGAGAGAGGGAGAGAGGGCGAGGGAGAAAAGGAGAGGGGGGAGGGAAAGAGGAAGAGGGGGAGAGAGGGCCAGGGAGAAAGGGAGAGGGGGCAGAGAGAGGGGGAGAGAAGGAGAGGGGGAGAGGGGGAGAGAGGGCCAGGGAGAAAGGGAGAGGGGGGAGAGAGAGGGGGAGAGAAGGAGAGGGGGAGAGGGGGAGAGAGGGCCAGGGAGAAAGGGAGAGGGGGGAGGGAGAGAGGGAGAGGGGGAGATAGAGGGGGAGGGAGAGGGGGAGAGGGGGAGAGAAGGGAAGGGAGAGAAGGAGGGAGAGAGGGAGAGAGGAGGGAGGGAGAGGGGGAGGGAGGGGGAGGGGATGGGGAGGGAGATGGATTCCAGATTCTTTTGAAAGATGACTACCCAGTAGCACAGAGCCTGCGTCTGTCCGTCCGTCCACCCGTCGGTGGCCAGCTGGGGGCAGAGGCTGCGCGCAGCAGAGGTGTGCGTGCTTTCTGCCTCAGGCCACGGGCCAAGGGGTGGCCAGCAGAGCTGCGGCGCCGGCGGCTGTGCCTCTGTCCTGATGAGACACTGGCAGGAACGGGCCCTGGTCCCCCCGTTCGCTCCAGCTGTGTGTGGTCCCCAGCCACCCACGGGGGCCATGCAGTGTGCAGCCGCATGAAGGGCAGACACGTGCAGGAAGTGGACGCCCGTGCCCGGGACGAGGGGTCATGGACAAGAGCGCTAGGAGGGTTGTACCTTCTTGTTGAGAGTCTTCCACCGCACGTTGGCCGCGTCCAGGTCCTGCTCCAGGCCCTGCGTGCTGGTGCCCTTGGCCGCACTTTGAATGAGGCCCTGGCCCAGCCAGTTCACGTCCTGCTGCTTCCCCTGCAGGGGCTCGATCTCTTCTTTCTGGAATGCCTGCAGTGGGAAGGGTTCCACTTCTGAACAACAACCAAGTCTGTAATGAGCAATGACTTAGCTACCGCGTAGTCAATGCTATCAATACTGCAGAGGTAAAGGCTTCACGGTCAGAGCCTGTGCCCATGCCAGCCTATGGTCTGAGTAACAATATCAAGGCAAAAAGAAAAACAAAACAAAAAAGGAAATCAAAACACAAAAATAAATCTGCAGCATAGCGAAACCATTGAGTACCAAGGAGAGATATGCTAAGTATATCAAATCAGATTACCTACAAAACTAAGAAGATAGAATTATGTGTCTTCTCCTTAGTGCTTCATTATCAAAGCAGGAAAGCCTATTATCTCCAATTAACTGTAGTAAAAGAGTTCTGGAAAATGCTAAGGAGAAAAGTGGTAAGACCCATGACTTGAGAAAACTCTATGGACACAGTGAGAGCAAAGGAGGATACTCTTAGAGGAGGCACACAAAGGTGCAGTGCCGCTATCCCCCTGATCACATGAAGCAATCGTCACCAAAAGAAAACAGGAGAAAGATGCTAAGATGGAGCCAAGATGGGCGCTGCTGGGCCAGGCCTCCTTCAAAGCACTCATGAGGATAGAGCTGCTAGAGCTGCTGGCCAGGCCTCCTTCAAGGAGCCCATGAGGATGGCGCTGCACACTGGAGACTGGAGCTTAAGACAGGAAGTGGCAGCCAAGGCCATGGGCAAGATGAAGTGGCCTAGATGCCAAGCACACAGCCTGCCAGAGCTGCTAAGATACAGTACCAGGAAGAGTCAAGCATGGCCTTCCAGGGCACCAAGGATAAAGGCAAGACAAGAAAGGGACAAGCATGTGTGGAAATGGCTGGGGTGCAGACACCACCAGCCCTTGAGGTCATTCGGGCCGGTCTGCCACATGTCAGGGCACAGCAGCCCGGGATCCCGGCTGCCTGCCCCCAGGCAGGCCCTTGCCAGTGCTCCCCAGCCAACTCAGGGGCCAACATGCTGGAGTACACTTCATATTCCATTACTATCTGCTTCCTTTGCCCTAGTTCTAGGCCCAGGGCCTATCACAGCATCTTGAATGAAATATGTGCCCAATGTTTATTTGCTGAATTGAAAACAGTGTAGGAAAATTACAGCTGTGTGTTCAGGTGGATGTCATCAGTCTCTTATCAGATAGCACTGGGGGCAGACACACCAGTTCACGTACAGTCAGCATGAATGTGTATAATGCGGGGCCTGGAGAATGGATGAGAAATGTCTATTATTTTCACTGAGGAAAGGTAATTGCAGGCAAATATTAGGGTAAAATATGGTTGGGCACTCTGAGTCATTACATAAATAATAAAGGAATGGTTAAACAGAATACATGACAGCAGAATAAAGGCAAATATTACAAGAGCACTTCAGGGCTATGGCTGAGGCTCCGTGGTAGCACCTGCTTCACATGCCCGAGGTCCTGGGGTCCCTGGGGCCAGAAGCCACCAGCATCACACAATAGCACCCACAAGAAAATCACAAGCACGGTATAAAGAAACAATTCTGAAAGATGGAGAGGCTACAGGAGACAAACTTTCCAGACGTGATCTGCTGCCTAGCGCACAGGACACTCCTATGTTGCTACAAATTAGTGATCATTTCCTCTACAAGTCCTTTGGTAGCCAAAAGTCCAAGCTGATTTTTCTTTCTCAGAAAATTCATTATGAACAATTTCCATACTGGCTAACTGTTCCCTATATAAAAATACTAGATATAGCCGGGCACCAGTGGCTCATGCCTATAATCCTAGCTACTCAGGAGACTGAGATCTGAGGATTGCTGTTCAAAGCCAGCCCGGGCAGGAAAGTCTGTGAGACTCTTATCTCCAATAAACCTCTTAAAAACCAGAAGTGGCGCTGTGGCTCAAGCGGTAGAGTGCTCACCTTGAGCTGAAGAGCTGAGGGACAGCGCCCAGGCCCAGAGTTCAAGCCCTATGACTGACCAAAAGAAAAAAAAAAAATACTGGATATTTGAAAAAATCAGCTATATATAATTAAAGCAATGATAAAATCTCCCAAACCAGGAAGAACTGGACTGAAAAGTTTTTCATAAATTTGTAAGGTTTTAAATTCCAATACACCAATAAGAAGTTGCAGCAATGTGAAAACAGAATTTTAGAACAAGACTCTTTCTTTTCTACATTACTTTCAAAGTTCTACTTCTCCGAAGTAGATATGGTCACTTACCAAGAGTGATAGGTCTAGCAAAACTGCTACTGGCTTTGGCCATTATGATAGTTACCAAGAGTGAGGGAGCTAACAAAATACTGTATCTTACTTTCAGGAACTTGGACAGTACATTATACTTTGGGGGAATGTTTTTAGGACAAATAATCTAATGTTCTAGTAAATTGTCTTTCTTAACTTTTGATCTTGGCTTTAATGTTAAGGCTGTAGAGCTGAGCAGGTGTAGGTGAGTTTATAATCATTTTCTAAAGTGGTATAAACCATACAAAAAAATCTACTATCTACAAATACACAAATCCATTATGGGGGGGTGGAGTGGGGAAAGCAGCTAAACTTTTAAATCTGCAGGCCGCTTGCTAGGTATTCAAGAACCAGGAGACTAGGGCAGTTGTTGGTTGTTGGTTTTTTTTCTGATCCTGACTAAATTCCTTATCTCTTGGTGGTAACATAATACATGGGAGGAGAAACTTGACCCAGTAAACCCACAGAAAAACACATACCCAAGACACACACAGAGAAAAAACTCATTTACCAGAAGAGTTTAGTAACAGTACCAAAATAACTGAACTTCAATCTGAGAGGGAAGAAAAAAATTACAGGCTTGATAAACAGCCTGCACTCCTTCCCAAGCTGCTTTCTGAGTTCTCGGAAAGTTCCGGCGCTGTAATTCCTGCACAAAACAGTGCAGCGGCAACTCCACTCCCAAGGCAGGGCTCCGGAGACCTTTCTACCACATCCAAAAGCTCCTCAACCATCTGCAGACCACCACAATCTCACACTGTTTGCACCTCATGACTAAGCCTGTGCAAGGTCAACAAACCCAAGAGAAGCGCCCTTAAATGGCAGTGTTAAACCAGAGCTCCTGCAGAAGTCTGGCATGGCCTAATTCATGAGGAGACTTTTTGAACAGAGGGGACAGCCACCCCCTGCACAATGAACACAGCAGGACCCTAGGCAGGGGGGTTCTCTTCACTGGTCTTGTCAGCAGCTGGCACAGCTTGCGGGTATTAGTCAACCTCCCACCCACCTAAACCAAGGGGCTCCAGCCCCGTTCCACACACTGTCGAGTACTCTGCCACAGAACCAGAGGCTCCAGGCATCGCAGTTTCACATTTCTGTTAATTACCTGCATGGGCTGGAAGCCATTGCAGACAACGTCTGACACTCCTGCCTGAATCTCGGCTTTCCTGGGCCCTACCTTCTTTCTTGCTGGCTTGAGTTTCTGGGAGCACTTTGTGTGGGCCGCCTCCACCGCCCCTTTCCCCGCAGAGGCCCGGCCAGGCTCCTGTGAATCACACTGTGCCAACCGTGTGCCAGTCTCCAGCAAACCTGTGTTCCCACAACCCCCCAGGGCTGTAGGAGAAAGAGGTAAATCCTGAGGGGGGTCCTTCAGATTCCCCCCACTTTGTGCCGCCCCATAGGATTCCTTTCCGCCATCTCCTGGCGTCATCAATGGATGATATTCAGGACTCCCTTTCCGGTTGTCCTGCAGGTGACGATGTTCCCTTTGGACACTTGCACGTTTGGTTTCGCTGAGCCGAGGCACATCCTGCGAAGCCACTCTGAAATGATCATCAAGGTGGGCGTCACTGCATGAAAGCAGCGGGATTTTCTGTTCACTGGTGGAATTCACAGGAACACACGATCTACACTGCTCTGCTGCACGAATATCATCAGCGGAGCTCAAACTTCTCAGTCTTCGCTGGTCTTCCGTGACGCGGTCCTGTCTGTCCTCTCTCTCGGCTGCGGAGCCACACAAACCAGAGTCCTCATCCTCAGAGGTGAGGGAGTTCGTTCCCCACCTGCACCTGCTGCTGGCCTTGGGAACAACCTCGGAGCCCTCCGCAGGTTCAACACCCGCGCTATCACCTTTGTTTGCATAATCCATAAAGTTGGCTGGGACAAGCATCCTCCATGACCGCCTATGTTCTTTCTTTTCAGCATGAGACTTAGCTCTGGGTAATCCTGAGGTCCGAATGACATCACTATTTAGTTTGAGTGCATCGAAGATCATCTTTTCATCGAGTTTGTTAGCTTCACGACCCCGCGGCTCAAAGGCACTGGGTGTAGTCAAGGCACTGTTGGAGCATAAGGAACTCCCATCCAGAGTTCGGTGACCGTAGGGCAGAGTCCGCTCGCTGAAGTGCCTGGAGCACAGGCTGCCCTTGGAGCCCGAGTCTATCTGCTCATTGAGTCTCACGGTGTCGTAGATGGACCGCTGGGGCACATAGCAGTCTTCAATGTTCAGGTCCTCCTCCTCCTCCCCCTTCCCCACACAGGGCGGGTTCTGACGTAGACAGTCAGGTCGGCTCAGTGGCTTTCCCATTCTGGAGCTAGTCAAAACAAACACTGGGGCTGGCACAGAAAGGAAGCCAGAAGGTAAAGCATCTTGCAGGGAAGTCCACCCGTGAGCCTCGCTGGGCAGCGCGTCCCGCATGGAGACACCAGATCCAGGAAGAGGTAACAGGAGGCGGGGAGAATCAGCCCTTTCACCCAGGGGACTGGGGACAGAGTCTAAGCGTATGTAAAGTGCATCCAGGACAGCGAGCAGCAATCGACTTCTCTGTCTCTCCCAACCCCCAAGTTCCCTTCCACACAGTGCAAACACAGAAAAACAAACACACCCTCAGCAGCCGCTCACCCGCAGCACTCCGCAGCCCGGCTTGCCCTTTGGAGTCTAATGTTGCATCTGAAGTTTCTAGATTAAAATTTCCCAAAGAGCAAGCTATTTTTTTAAATAGGCTGAGGTCTGTTCAACTGTAATCCACTTCAAGATACCTTGCAAAACTCCA